CAAAATAACATTTTTAACAATTTTTGTCTGTCTTTCTGTCTGTTTGTTCCGGCTAATCTCTGAAACGGCTGGACCGATTTGGACGGGACTTTCACTGGCAGATAGCTGATGTAATAAGGAGTAACTTAGGCTACTTTTATTTTTTATTTTTTTATTCAAAATTCCACACGGACGAAGTCGCGGGCACAGCTAGTCATAAATATATTTTGAAATTCATAAGAGGTTTTTGATCAAACATGATTGTGCGGTATTTTGTGATTTACAAAACCTAACTACAACTATTATAATTATCTACGAAAACACGTCATCTATTTATTTTTTTAAATTTATTTAAGAAGATCCGGACACATCTGTTACTTTAAATTACAACAATATCGTTAAAAGAGTTTGTTAAAATCCTTTATTTGATGTTATAATGGGTAAAATTTTAGCAGACTACTACTTTGATATAGCAAACAAAAGAAAAATTTAAACGATGGAGAACTATACAGAAATATCACTTACGAATTAATCAACAAGCAGAATTCGGTAGTCATCTATAGTTTTTAAAAACATAATTAAATCTTGTTATTTTCACTAAGAAAATCCACCATTTTGCTGTTGTCAACATTATCATATTTAAAAACCATTCGTAAAACACTGTATTGTCCTCACTTAAAACATTCAAAATTATTTTTGGTATATACATATTTGATTACTATAAAATGAGCAGGAAATATTTTTGATATACGATTTGGCACAAAAATATTGATACAGCCAATATGCTAATATCGATTTCGAAACACGATTACAAATTTTATTAATTCTTTTTGTTAAAAGCCATTAACGTTACCATGGTGTAGTATAAATTGATTTAAATTAAATTCGACTTTACGTAACTCAAGTTTTATACGTGATTTTGATAAATCTATGACAAAAATGAACTAAGTTACGTTCAAAATGAGTCACAGATCCAATACAGAGCACCCCGACTCCATATGGTCTTGTTGTCCCTACCCCTAGAGTGAACATAAAAAGGCGGAGCCAGAACCTCGCGTCGGAGGTCCTGAGTGGCGCTTCACCCGTTCGACCTTCGCTAAAATTACAAAATTTTAGTTGCAATTTTCTTAATAATACATTTTAATCTATTAAATACGGCCAATGTAATATAAAATGACCTAAAAACGTGATTCTGTTCCTAGAAAAAGAAAAAAGAATCGTATCACTTACGTAGACGTTTGTGTAATATGGCTTACTCTCATATTCCATGAAACAGATCTATAATCATCTTAGTGGTCTTTTACAATAGATGTCGTGGTGTTCGAAACATTACTTTTTTAATTCTATTACTGATGTAGTGTTTATCACAGTCCGTGGTCGTGTACAAAACATGAAACGTGGCAGATGCATTGCTAAAACTACCTAAAAAACTGGGAAGTAGTATGGACGCGAGACGCTTGTTTTATTTTTGGACACAGCGCGCGGCATGTAATTACAACTAAACGCGGCTTCTGGGCAGGTCCGTCCGGTTAAGTACCACGAAGATCGGCGTGAAGTGCAAGTGTTATAATTCTGCGTTTCGTCTGGTTAATAAAGTAGTCAGGGCCCACTTTATTAAAAGGTGACAATGTGTCTGCAACCCTACGTGTGTTGCAAATGTCAATGGGCGACAGTTATCACTAAACATCAGGTGAACCGCCAGTTAAGCTTGGAACCTTCTGACCATAAAAACAATTACGGGTAAAATAGACCGATGTTGTGATACCTTTGACGTCATTAACTGCAAGTCCACTTGTCTCTAATATTATTAGAACTCGCAAAATGTAAATTATTGTTTTCCTACTAAGATGACGATGACCGTTTCTGCGCTAAAAACTGTCCATTAAATTCATATATTTAAACAGTCCTTACTAACTAGTATTTTCGTTATTATTGCTATATGACTATAAACAAATTTTTTATCTGTATCTGTATAAACTTGTATGCAGACGTACATCTTACGGCATTGACATAAAATGACTGTTTTTAATGAAAATGTTTTTATTGAAAACCGCCAAAAAAGAAAAGAAAAACTGTTCTTAATTAAAAAATGTTAAATGTTACATGGTTATAGCATGGCTACTAAAGTGATTGAATGAGACGTTCGGAAAAATCCTATAGGAATGGGATAAATAAATGAAACGCAGAATTGTCGATTAATGTTTATTCCATCGTCTTAATTAACAACCATCGAAACTTCTAGTTGTGACCGTCAAGCGAGACGCGACTCAAACTACGAACAGACTCGAGCATTCGGTAACGGAGTACCCTTGTTTGTATGAATCAGGAGACAGATAGACGCCTTGTTCTGATTTACGGTCGGTGTATAAATATTCAATCTACAGATAGCTTTGGTTACTGGAGAATTTCGACGTAAGTGTTACGGAGCTAATGTCAAATACTTATAGTTAGTAAGTAATCCAGTGAACGCAAATTAACATGGACGCATTATTAACGCTTCAATGACATAACAACTAAAAGTTAATAAACTTTATTTTTATTATAAAATAGTTGAACTAACAAATAAGTTCATTTATGTTTGACGGTGCGTGTTAACTGTCAGTGTTGAGTGATTGTTAATAAATAGCATCACAACTGTGAATGTGTTCCATGTTTTATCAGTGTTCACTGTAGTTACCAAATCTATCTGCAGATAGAATATTGAAACCGCTCGTTAGTAGTCATCACTGGTCCATAATTATATTGATCAGTCGCAGCCTCATATCTTGCAAATCGAAACCACCTATGTAAACGAGGCTCACCCAATATTTTAACTGGAAAATTCCTAAAGCTTACAAGTTTTATATATTACTGACATAATACATTGATTACAAATACACGTCTTATTATAAAACCTAGAAGCGAGCTAACATATACCTAGGTCATCTGTCGAGACACCAGTCTAAAATACCGAAGCGATCCACACGGCTCAGTGACTTAGTTTACGTAGACGACATTAACGTTATGTTAAACGAGAGAGGCCTGCAGTTTGGTCCTGGACCCTGCATACATCCCGTGTAAGCCATTACAAAACAAAGCGTCACTCGTAGAACATTCCACGCCTTTCTCTTCTTTTTCATTCTTTTTTGTAGGATAATATTATCCTGAGTCCAAACAATACAAATGCCTAACCAACACGATGCTCACTGATCATAAGCGTTTAGAAAGCCCTAACCGTAAATAAATAAATTATATCATAATTCCATGTCACAAGGTTAAGGGATTTCGACCATCTCGTCATATTGCCGATACAGAGCTCACTGCGGTTGGCAGAGGTCTTTTTGCATCAATTTTCACCAATAAAAAGTGCTGCCTTGATAGACAATACCACATATCCATATGCCAATGTATCCACGTCTTGTACGGATGAACCAATTATTGGTGAACATCAAGATATATAACAAAAAATTTCAAAATACAGCTTCTAAAATTGTGAATACTGGAATATGTATAGGTCTATTATATAGGTCGTATTTTGTTTAAACTGGTAACTTACGTAACGAACGTGTTATTCTTTGTAAAATTTTGACGTTTCATAAGAACCCGCAAGCGTCTATGTGAATAAAGATATTTTATTATTATTATTAAAACATTAAGTTGTCTCGCTTTCAATAAAAGTCGACATCTGCATTAAATATCAGGGTTGGCCAACAATTGGATCTTGACTCCTCGCTATGGTTTACCACAATCCATTTAGACTACAATATTTGACAACTTCCACTTTTAGAAAAAGTTGGCCGACCCTGACATACACAATGTTACAAGTACACAGTTTTGAAACTATTAGAGATGAATCAAAAAATTATTTAGTTCATGTCTAATAGTTATGGATTAATAAATTATTGAATTAATAATTTGTTTTTTCAATTCATGTTTTTAAATTATATAAGAAATAAATAATAGTTATTTAACATATTATTACACTGGATTATCTCAATGTTCGCAATGCAATGATAAAAACGCTGACAAAATAACATCTATACAAAAAGACACAATCCAGACTGCTAATGTTATTAAAATATACAAGGAAAAATTTTCCATTTGAACATTTCAAATTATCCAAAATAAAATTTAAAACACATAAAAGTCGAAATTAAAAATAAACCCACTTATTAACGTCACTGGAAAAACAATTTAATCACGTAAATCATTAAGAAAAAAAGTACAAAACGGAGCAAATGCTACGTCGGAAGAGGCTTCGACGCCACCGATCAGTGAGCACCGTCGCGCCCTCTAGCAAAGTAGAGAATGTTAAAACGATTCTTATCGCTTAATTAGCATTAAATTACGCTAATGAGGTACCCTTGAGCTGATGAACGGAACTGTAGAGTCCCGGACGACCTTCCTCAGAACGAGAGACAAAAATACAGTAGCCTGTTGCGTGTATTTTAACTACGTCTTGAACGCGTTGCGTTTATCGATTACCCTGTGTGTTAAAGGCGTCCAGCAGGTAAAGAGGGAGAGAGATATAAGGGGTACCCCCCTTATTCACCATATTGGGGGAGGATTAAAGAAAGGGAGGGAGGGGATGGGAGAAGGAAGAGACGAGGCACGGAAGGCACGTAAAGAAGAATGTTCTTCAAGGTCGGGAAAGTAAGCGGAGTGCAGGAAGCAAAGGGGATATCAAGAAGACACTCGTAAATTAGTACTAAAGAGCGAAAAGCATAAAAGAAATTGTTACAGTGGAATAGTAAGGATAGATGTTAACATGAGGGAAAAAATCGTAGATTGTCATCGATAGTGATAACATGGCGACGATTTGTTCGCGTCATCCGTGAGGATACGTCATCAGACAATACAAACTCTAAATATCTTATCAGAGCTAAAAAAGAACAGTACAACTTAATTAGGCTTATCTAGAGTAATATGCACGATTCTCGTCAGAGTTTAAGTGAGAATGAGGTATCGTGCCGGTCGCGGACGGCCGAACCGCTAAACGACCGCCATTAAAACAACAGTAGTTCGGGGCAGAAGAGCGCTCAGAAGGGGCGGTAGGCGGCGGGGTACTTGGCGGGCAGCGCGCGGTCGGCGAAGAGCGCCAGCGCGGGCCAGCCGAGGCGGCGCAGCAGCGCCACCAGGCGCAGCTCGAGGTCGCGCGAGGGCCGCTCGTCCAGCAGCTTGAGCAGCGTGCGCGCGCAGCGGCCCCAGGCGGCGGCGGCGGCGCAGTGCCAGGCCAGGCAGTGCGCCACGCGCGCCTCGCCCGCCTCGCCCAGCCGCAGCACGTCCGCCAGGTTGGTGCGCAGCGCGTCCGCGATCTTGTCGCGCGCCGCGCCGCTCTGCGCCAGCGCGTGCAGCCGCGCCAGCGCCGCGCCGCGCCGGCACAGCGCCTCCACCAGCCAGCAGCGCGCGCGCTCCTGCTCCCTGACGACAAACGAACGAATCTAAAATAAAAGCAGCCGAGTTAAAGTCCCGTCCAAATCGGTCCAGCCGTTTCAGAGATTAGCCAGAACAAACAGACTGACAAATATTGTAAAAAATGTTATTTTGGTATATGTACCGTGTATAAATCCATATGCATTTAATAAAAAGCGGTTATTTTAATATTACAAACAGACACTCTAATTTTATTTATCTGTATAGTTTTATTTATTTATTTAAGATTACCAGCAGTTGTTACACCCATAAAATTTATACTAACAATACAGTAATTATAACTGAGTGCACAACTATTTTAAGGTAAACACAACATGCACACATAATGTATTGAAAAAAAAATTTATTACATTAAAAAGGAAACAAATAAAAGTAAAAATTAATCGTTCTTTAAAATTAACTTACAATAAGTAGTTCAAAATGTTTACCCAAAAAGATAAAATTTATATGGCATATAACAAAAATAAAAAATTATAATAAATGAATTAAATATTATTAATAAGTCCTAATACAAAATAATGTAAAAAGTATGGAAGGGTTACGGCCATACGCAGTTGACTCCCGCTGCCTCAAGGAAAATACGCAGCTAACGCTAGGAGCACATACGGCGGTAGGGCCACACAGCAGCCTCAGCTGTTGCAAGAATGGGCAGGCTCATCCGGGTAAGTACCACGACCTCAGAGAACACCGGCGTAAAGTGAACGTATATATAATACTATCGCGTTTCGTCTGGTGAGTGAGGTGGCCGAAGCCCAATTTACAAAAAGTTGTCAACGCAACTGGAACCTTCGGGTGTAGCAATGTCCATAGGCAGCGGTATTCACTTAGCATCAGGTGAACCGTCCGCTCGCTTGACAACTTTTAACATTAATAAAAAAAACATGGAGTAGAGGCAACAGGAGGTATTAAATTGAATTGCATAACTTTTACAATCTCAAATTGATTTAAGTATCTAACCTTTTTATGGTCGCACAAAGTAATGTGTAGGTCCTATGTACTCACGACTCCCTGAGATACTTAAATGTAATTATTACAACAGTCTGTTCCTAACAGACAAGGCGCCCAACTTATTATTATGATTCTATATTTTGTAGACTATTGTATCTGAGCTAGTCCAGGGATTGTAACTATGAACTGAAGGGTAAAATATAACATCTTAACAGAACTATATCTTTCATTAAATCATCCCTTCATCACCAAAGACTCACCAAACACTCTTAATAAGAAATGTTACAGTGTGTCATAAATTGAGATTTTGTGTTAGCCCTGTTGACTGGCAACACTCTCTCCTACCATCGAAAAGCTAACGAAACAACTCACTGCTTGATTTTAGTGGCGTCGCTGCGCGTGTCATTCTTCATTCCCAAGTAAGCCAGCAGCTTGTCTTGGTCTATCTGCTTTATCACCTGAAAAACAGAACATCTGTTACACTCCCACATCTTGACATTGTATCTTCAATCTGGCAGTATCAAAGCCAGTTGAAAGAAGCGCACACCAACCACGTCAACCTATGACATTGATATTTTTTTAAAACAATAACTGCGGCTTAAATTGTTCCCATAACCAATAAACGTGTTTCAATTAATTAATTAGCTGTTTAAGGTCTAAAAACATATCTCAAGTTAAATGCAATTAAATTACAAGATATAAGTAAGGTGAGCAAGAGTGAAAAAGGGATAAACATGGCAAACTGCGTAAGAGATCAAGAATAGATGCAATTGCGACTCAAACGATGTTGCAAATGTCCATGGGCTGCGGTGATCGCTTATCACCAGGTGACCCACATGCTCGTTTGCCTCCTATTCCCATAAAAAAAAAAAAATGGAGGTACTCTGATTAACACAATTTTACCTTATCGGCAATCGTTATGAGCTGCTCACACCAGGCAGTTGTTACGTCAGGATCCTCATCAACGAGAGGCAACCTGAGAGAAATTGAGGCACTCTTATAACACAACCCTTATATAATATTATTTTTACATGTACAAATCTATGAGGTGTCATGATAATAAGGTCTGATATGGGCAACTACTGTTACACATTCATATTAAACCGTGGCCTTTTTGAGTAAGAGAAAATTGAACCACTGGCTAAAGATGTGCCATTAATTAGAATAACTGAATTTATTAAAATTATTTTATATAGTATAGTTTATTAATATTATTTTGAAATCTAAATGGTTTTCCTTAGTTTTCCTTTGAAAATTATATGTTGCAGTTTTGGAAACTAAGCATTTGGTATGAAAATTGTCTTAACAAATTCCAAATATATTTTTTCAAAATATTCCCATGTGATATTTAGGGAATTAATTGACATACATTGCATTTGATCACTCAAGCACTATTAACACACACCATTATACGAAATACCTACATAAGTAATAACTTTCACAAAACAACATTATATTATTTAAGTTCAAGGTTGGTGTGTTCTCACTTTTTGGGATCCGTCGGTGAGTCCACGCTGTTTAAATAAGCCACATGTGTTCCCATATAGCCCGGGTACTTTTCTAACAATTCCTCGTACAGCTGTTCTAATTTATCGCCCTCTGAAACACAAATACGAGGGCATTAAAACATTAGTATGACACACGTTTTAAGGTACTAGTATTATTAAGGGGTTACCAATAAGCTGTGATAGATTATTGTCCGCCAATATGCAGTGGGGTTGCGTGGTTGACTATGGCAGCCTCTGTACCGCAGTGGGACATACAAAATATAGGCCATGTTTGTATTTTATAAATTTTTTTTCTTACATTGCCTTTATTTTAGGATAACATTATCCTGTGTTGTAAGGGTGTTTTACAAACATAAATTTCACGTGGACAAACAACCAGATACAAAAGAACCATCTATGGCTCACACAAATAGATGTCCCATGCGGGGATCCAACCTACAACCCCCGACGCCGAGAATAATACCTTTGCAAATGCGACAAGGATTCATCAAAAACCGGCCAAGTGCCAGTCGAATTCGCACATGAAGGGTTCCGTACAATTATCTATAACAAAAGGAAAAAAAAAATCATGTCTGCTTTATGAGAGCCCCCACTTAAATATGGTTTTATTCTGTTTTTTAGTATTTTTTGTTATAGCGGCAACAGGAATACACCATCTGTGACAATTTCAACTGTCTATTACGGCTCATGAGATACAGCCTGGTGACGGACGGACAAATAGACAGCGGAGTCTTAATAATAGGGTCTCGTTTTACCCTATGGGTACGGAACACGAAAAAGATGTCGGGTCCGCTAAATTTCATTAAAATCGGTCCAGCCGTTTAGGAGGAGTTCAGTGACATACGCGCACAACAAGGAAGAATTATATCTTATTCTTTAAACGAGCAATTCTTGTATATATATATATAATCGGAATTTCGGAAACGGCTCCAGCGATTTTCATGAAATTTAGTATGTGCGTAGATTCGGGGGCAAAAAATCGATCTAGCTAGGTTTTATTTTTAGAAAATGTCCTTTTATTCCTGTATTCAGGGAATGAAAAACATCATTCGAGTATGACAGTAAATTTCGCCGCAAAAAAATATGTTATAATAGCTCGGTGGGTAATTTGGCGGCCCCAAAACAGACGGTCGCGGCTCGTGTCACGATCATTTACACACTTTTTTTTTTACATTTTTTTCGATTCCAGACCATTGCTTTCTTTATCTTTTATCTTTGTCGATTTGTTGTTCTGTTATTTTTTCCCCTTTTTTTTAAAGTTCCTTCTTTAGTGAAAAACACCACTTGATATTTTCTTATTATTAATCAGCCGTTCCGCACCGAGCTTGGCCATCCAGGTGGCGGCGAGGTCCTTGTGGGCGTCGGCGTAGTCGTCGTGGCGGCGCGCGGGCTGGCGGCGCGGCGGCTCGCACGGCGCCAGCCGCAGCGAATAGACGGCCACGCGGCGGGCGCCCTCCTCGCGCGCGAAGCTCACCGTGCCCGACAGCGTGTGCCCCACGCACAGCTGCCCGCGCCCCACCCTGCGGACGAGCGCAGCGCTCAGACCACGACCGCCACCACCACCACCCACCACCGCCACCACCACCGCTGCTGCTCACTTCTCCGCGGGCGGCGGCGCGATGTACAGCGGCAGCAGAGCCCCGCCGGCGAGCGGCGACGGGCTGAACTTCTTGCCGCCGACCACCGCCTGCCGGAGGGGACATCGAACTGTTGTATGCGCAAGTTGCGTGTGACGGTCGCGACGCTACAATTCAATGATCAGCAAGCGATACTACAATTCAGAGACTTTCTATTTCATCATGAACTATGTTTAACAAGTTAATAACTCAATAAATTCTTTTTCTTTTCAGTAATTTTCCTAACCCCACATAACAGAACGGTCCGGAAGCAGGCTCCATAAGCGATTGCTTGTGGGAAAGCACTATAACTTAATCGTTGTCACCGATGTCTACTCTTACACTGAGCGAGCTTCGCAAGACTTAATAATTACTAAACGAGTTGCTATCAAACACAGCGCCTTCTCTGCCATAAGTTCACTATTATTTTACGAAAAGATGCGACCCATGCAACTCATACTATTTTACTTTTACTTAACCCATGTACACACACGAAAAGGGTAATATTTAATTAGCATCCCGTAGCGCGGTAGCGAGGGCGCGCAAAGGCGAGAGGGCGCGTGTGGGGGCGTGGGCGCGGGGGCTAACGTAAGGGGGGCTTACGTCGGGGGGGCTTAAGTCGAGGGGGCGTGGATGCACCTGCGAGTGCGACGCGAACACGTCGAGCGTGATGGGCTGCGGCAGCCGCTGCTGCACCACCACCGGCAGCTCCTGCAGCCGCTCCAGCAGCGAGCGCGTCTCGTGGCGCACGTTCAGCCGCAGCACGTACTCGCCCTTCTCCAGCTTCACCGAGTACTGTAAATGTAAACTGGGCCGCTCAAGCTAAACCATACAAGTTCGAAACCATTACAGGTTTAGCTTTAATTAAGGCTGACGCCCGCGTCATCTGCTAAAAATACATCTACCTTTTTTTTTACACATTGTCCTTACTATAGTATAACATTATCATGTGTTTCACGTGGACAAAAGACCCAGATCACTCACGACCTTTGGCGTTGAAGGCAATACCTTCGCAACTCCGCCACGGAGCCATCGATTGTTCCTCATATTACATTTACATAAATACATATAACCGAGTCTGCACATAAAGTAAATCAGTACATGAGATTATCTCTACAAGGAAATTACCTTAGAGGGATACGCATCGCCGACGGCCAACAGCTGCTTATTGCTGTTGTACAGCATCCACATCTGCGACTCGTACTCGGACTCGTAAAGGGTCTCGCAAAGCGGCGACACGATGGGCGACACCTGGCGGCGATATATAACTGGCGTACTTGTTTGCGTAAGTAAAGTAAAAAAGTAACCTAACAGCCTATACATATCCAACTGCTGGGCACAGGCCTCCTCTTTACTGAGGATATTAAGGCCTAGACCACAACGTGATCTCACTGCGAATTGGCGAACTTTAAATATTATCTTCGAAATATATTTTTTATAGTTATTTTGAAAATATGCAGGTTTTCTCGCGCTAATTTCCTTCACCGCTGTTTGTATAGCCTACAAATGTCTCAGTGCGTAACCCATGTATAACCATGCATTAAAACACCTCTACAATATAGATCAAGTGGATTGATGAAGGTGAAAATAAATAGATGCGAGAAAAATCTGTAAATTTAATCTTCGTGGAGCGTCATAACGTAAACATTGAAATTACCTCCGTCGCTTTGGTCAGGTGGAAGTTGTATGTGTTGATCAGCTGGTAGATCTGGCGGCCGGGCGGGATCACGTCGCGCGATAACAGCGGCGCGATCTTGGACTCAGCGGGCCTGCAAGGCGGCGGCGGTCAGTTATCGGGCGGGGGCGATCAGTTAGCGGGTGGGGGGCGGCGGTCAGATATCGGGCGGGGCGGTCAGTTAACGGGTGGGGGCGGTCAGTTATCGGGCAGGGGGCGATCAGTAAGAGGTCGGTGGACTCAGTTAGCGGGCAGGGGACGACAGGGAATAGTCGGGGAGGGGGCGATCGAGCGGGAAGGGGGCGTTGCTTGATGGAGGTGGCACAGCGCAGAAGAGTCACCTGTAGACTGGCTCCGCGTACTTGAGCTGCGCCAAGGGCTGCACCTCCTGCAGACGCAGCGCGGAGAGCAGCACGGCGGCGGGCGCCTGGGCGCCGCCCAGCCACAGCTGCGAGCCGAAGTCGGGCTTCAGCCCGTGGAACTCCACCGCGTAGTCGGCGCTCACTTCGCCGATGTTCGCCCAGTACTTGGCGATCACCACCTCCAGCATCACGCCACCCTGAAGGAGCACCGGTTGGGGGCGCTTCAATCGTACCGATGGGCGATCACCACAATAAAAATACTTCATTTTGTTCAAGTTGAGCTATGTGCCATATTTCTGTGAGCTATTCGATGGGTATGTGAATTTTTATAAGTACAATAGTACTTTATTGACCATAATAAAAAAAAAAACAGAAAAGTACATAGAAAAAGACATGTAAATTTTTGCTGATAGTATTAACAGTGGTAGTTAGCTAATTTTTGTTCATTTAGATCTCTATAATATGGTCATAACGAAAATATATACTTATATAATAATAACCACCGCATTAAAACACAAAGGAAGAAATTTCATTTAATCTTTTTAATTAAATGATATACGAATAACATTAATATGTAAGTTAACAAGAGGAATAATTTTAAATTGTTATTTAATTTGAAGCGAACACAACTTTTGTTTATTCAAAAGTAGAGCTTGCGTTATTTTGTAAATGTAAAGTTCGCTACACTCATTCATAGTGGTGGCGGTGAATCATTATTTTTCATATGAAAAATATCATCATTGTCATCATCATTATCATTTCAGCCTTAAAGCGTCCACCGCCGGTCATAGGCCTCCTCTATGAAAATACAATTCCTGCGTCCATCCTCCGAACTATCGAACTCCTCCCTTAGAGCGGGAGACCTGTGCGTCACTGAGGCCACACCTGCAGCTGGAAGTGCACCAGCGCCGGCGCCTCCGCGCTGACGTTGAGCATCTTCTGCGTCTCGGACGCGCGGCAGCTGCGCTGGGGCAGCAGCTGCATCGCGTGCACCAGGAAGCGGCCCGTGCGCTCGACGTCCTCGCCGGCGGCCCCACCGCCGGCCCCGCCCCCGCCGCCGCCCGCGCCCCCGCCGCAGCCCCCGCACCCGCCGCCGCCCACGCCGCTCAGCCGGATGCGCACCACCCCCCACGTCGCCTCCAGCGGCGCTGCGAAACAACACAAACTGTCATATAATAACTATTCAATCACCTATATAATTTTATACATAAGTGTAGCAACAGATTTACAATGAAACCTTGCGTAAGACGACTCTCTCAAAAGGCCTTTCTCTTTCAATTGCCACTGGAATAAAATTGTGCGTCAAATATGTCGTTTGTATAGAGATTTTTTTCAAAATACTTTTATAAGTTGTAAGTATGACGTCGTGCATTAGTATATATAAGCGAGTATTCGTCATCGCCAAGTTCCGAGACACCCACGGATGACGAAGTGGCGGCGCACGGTGCCGGGCTTGAAGGGCACGGCCTTCTCGGCGAAGCGCGGGCAGCCGGGCGAGTCCAGGTCGAGGCGCTGCGGCTGCAGCACCGTGATGGGCACGCGGAACACCGGCCCCTTGGCCACGCACGACACGTCGTACGCGTCCACGCTGCGGGAGGGGGGCGAGCGTTATATAGCTACGAATTCTCTGTGCACGGAACAGATTGGAAGGAACGAATGACCCGAATAGGGGCGTATTGCTGTATCGGGGGCTCGGCGGTGGTAGGGGCTCGGCGGTGATAGGGGCTCGGCGGTGATAGGGGCTCGGCGGTGGTAGGGGCTCGGCGGTGGTAGGGGCTCGGCGGTGGTAGGGGCTCGGCGGTGGTAGGGGCTCGGCGGTCGCGGGGGCTACCTGGTGAAGTGGGGGCCGGGCGGCAGCGCGGCGGTGCGCATGCGCAGCGCCAGGCCGCGCGGCGCGTTGTTGAGGTCGAGGTGGGCGGGCGCGGACACCCAGCTGCTGCGGCACACCAGCGCCAGCCGCACCCCGAACGAGATCTGCTTGGGAATGACCGACTTGTCTGGAACACGCATCACGCTACATACGTTTTTTTGTATCTATTCGGCACTCGCGCACATCTAGGGATACTTTCTATGGGAAATCGTAACAATATGCGATTAGAACATGTAATAAACCTGAAATAAACACAATTTGAGTATGGGCGGAGTAAAGTTTATGTTTAACAGCAACTTTATAATATTAACACAGATACATTGGAGGAGCTGTAATATCGATGGTTCTGCAGATTTTGCATGGTTCAATTCCAATCTCTAAAATATATTTAAAATATTAAAATCTTTTTAGACTCAACAGTGGACTACTTAGTTTTAATGAAGATAACAATAGATCATATCATAAGACTGGCATTGATTTTCAAAAAAACATATGTATTTTAATGCTGACTGACAATTATTGCCAGCTTTACAAGATTTTGTCTAGTAATTAACTATGCAAATATTAGATTTGTGTAACTGATAAGTATACTATTAATTCTGTTAAAATTACTTAAAATGTGACTTTCATAAACAAATATTTAATTTCTTTTTAAGAAACAGTATTGTTTCTTAAATATAAAGTACAATTTTGAACGAGGAACAAGTAAATAATAATAGCACTTAATTAAAAAAAAAACATCTGTGAAAAATGTTACTAAATAATATAGTGACTGGCAAACAACTTGCAAAAAGTGGCATAGTGAGAAATTTTGTTCTTGCATGTCCATTTTTGTGCAACCAATCGCAATATACATAGTATTATCATAGAGATCAATTTTTAATATCACTCCACCAAACTTGCCAATCGCTATACGGAACAAATAAACAAATACAGCGGTAGGGCTACACAGCTGTATCCATTTTATGAATGGACAGGTTAGTTCGAGAAAGAGCAAATTCCGTCAATAACCTTACGGAAGGTCAGCGTGAAATGTAAATAACGCACTTGTGCGTTTCGTCCGCGGTCGAGGCGGCACGGTGTGACGTCATGGGGTACAGTACACTGGGTCAGTGTACTGTACCCCATGAGGTCACACAACAGTTGGATATTTGTATTTTATAAGTTCCAACTGCTGCGATCTAGATCTAATGCGGTCTGCCTTTCTAAACGTCACCCCACACTATACTACACGAGGTCTCGGTCGGGTCTGTCCACGTGAATACGTTTTTACGGTGGCAGGGCCACGCAGCAGCCTCGGCTGTTGCACGAATGGGCAGGCTCGTCCGGGTAAGTGCCACGAGCTCGCAGAAGACCGGCGTAAAATGGGAGTGTAATACTTTCGCGTTTCGTCTGGTGAGTGAGGTGGCCGGAGCCCAATTTTCAAAACGATTGTCAACGCAACTCCCAACAAGGCTTCCCCTCATGTGTAGCAGATGTCCATGGGCGGCGGTATTCATTTAACATCAGGTGAACCGTCTGTTAACTTTGCAACTTTTCACATGAAAAAAATCGAACTTATTAAGTGTGTTCGGCGACACTCACTGTCGAAATCGTCGTGCGGCCGGTGGAAGTGCGGCTCGACGGTGACCGTCGCCTCGGCGGGCGGGGCGCCGTGGCGCGGCCGCAGCAGCACCCCCTTGCCGGCGGCGCCGCACGTCGTGCCGAAGCGCACGTCGCGCTCCACCGCGCCGTGGTGCGCGCTCAGCAGCTCGAACGCCTGCCGCGCGGGGCCCAGTGTTCACTCGTCAGTTCGCTCCGCGCCGAGAGATGGCGCTGATCGGTATAGGACACGGCGCCAGATCGCGGTTTCGAGATGCGGGCCCAGTGTTTAGCCGCGAGTTAGTTTCGCGCCCGACAGATGGCGCTGTTTGATAAAGCGGAAGACGCTAGATTGCGGCGTTGAGATTCTTTTCGAGATGTGGGCACAGTCTTTGGGTGCGAGTTCGTTCCGCAACGGGAGATGGCGCTGATTGATACAGCGGACGGCCCAGTGATAATGACATCCAACCATAGACATACTTATTAATTCTTTGGTAAAGTGTACACTGTGATAGATTAGTAACTGCACAAGGTTGAAGTGAAGTTTTGATATCATTTTGGGGTTTTTTTTTATTCCTCAACCTCAACCCTGATTCAAATCCTTTACCCTTAACAACACAATTATTCTCTCATCAGAGACACAGAGCACACAAATCCGCCTGCAAGGCTCTCTCCAACCAAGTGCCATAAATATTTCATGGCAGTTTTTTAGACAACATCTGGTCCCAAACTGAGCAAGGCTGTGCTATATTATACTAAAATTAAAAAACGTATGATAAATAAATACAATTGATACATGTATAAACACTCAGACATTAAAATATTACAACTCTTCCAGTAGGGTGTTACTGTCAGTGTGACACATGCTGAGTGCGAAGCACTGGAAAGCAGTCGAGAGTGTTACCTTATTGACGTCGAGGAGACCCCACCCTTGAGCCCAGGGCTCCACGTGGTCGAGGTGAGTAGCCGAGTTCTCTAGCGCCCTCTTCACCGAATATGGTGAGTAGGGCAGGCCCATCTGTTTCAAACCCGAGATCAGCAACGCTGGGGATGGAGACTAAATTGTAAATGTTTTCTTTAATAAATACTATATGTCGCACACAGCAGCGACATTAACAAGTCGATTTTCAACCGACTTCAAAAAAGAGGAAAGTTCTCAATTCAACTGTATTTTTTTATTTTTATGTTTTTGTTACTTCTTTTAAAAAACAGGTTAAGGAACATTATCTGGCTACATTACTCTCTATCTTTCGACGTCTCTCTCCATCAGTCACATGATATATGTTTTTCTTCTTAATTTTGATTGCTACTTTCTTATTATTATTTATTTATTTTTATTTCCTTCATGTACATCCTACCCATCAACAATTCCTTTTGGTAAATTTCGGAGGTGGCCTGGAAGAAATTGCATTGCCTGTGTAGCAATAAGGCCACCTTTTGATGACCAATATTTGATAAATATTTTGTTTTTTGCACTTTTTTATTTTTGGTATACAATAAAGTATATTATTATTATTCTTATCAAAAACGCATCCACTGTGAAAGCAACAAAAAATAAGATACAGAAACAGGAACATTATCTTATCCTTGCCATCGCTTTTTACAGAGTTTATGGAAAAACTTTTGTACATAAGAAACAAAAGTCTGAGTATTAATTGACAGACTCAAATGGATTTATGTCACACAGCCAAAAAAAAAGCGAATAATGCTACATTGACATCTTGCTTAAAGTGCTACATTCATAGTATTAGATCATTTATAACATACTAAAAATAACAATAAGGTAATTTTTTATCAGGTTAAGTTCCATGTGATATTTGTGATAAAAATAATCACCTTTAAAAGTAGGATAAAGATTGAAACTCCTACTGATTTTTTTACCCAATAACCGATTCTAACGCACATACATTTGTACTATGAAAAAGTGTATATTAAAGTATTTTAAAGTAAAAGTAAGTAGTAATAAGTGGATTTAAAATATTAAAAAAATAAGTGTTGAACACAAAATGCAATTGTGTAGCAAAAAGCGTGACATTGAACTTTTACGCCATTTTTTTAAAAAGTTTTTGTGCAATTACTGAAATTGAACAAAGTATGCATTCTACTCACCAACCGCGCCGGCAACGTGAGGGGCGGCCATCGAAGTCCCGTTCATTAGTTGGGAGTTCCTCAGCATGAACCTTTAATTTGGAATGAGAAATAATATTTTAGAGAAGTATAGAATGTTATATTCTCTCATAATATGAGATAAAGAATTAAAGATCATGCCACAAAAGTTTGTCTATTAAATTGGATGAAGTATAAATGGTCTCTAAACTTTAAGATTAAAAAGTAATATTAACATACTTCACACAAAAAATGGGCACGAGAAATTAAATTAGTTAGTAAAGAAAGAAAAGGACTAATGATAGTAAAATGAAAATTGGATATTGGGAAATACATAGAACATATATTAGGGTGCTAAAAACATACATATAGGTATAGGGGATGTATAGAAAATTGTTACTTGTTCCTCACATACAGGTTGTAGGCAAATAAGTTAATGTTTAGAATGGACACAAACATAGAAAAAATATATATATAGACAACAAAGAATATAGAAAAATTGTACATAGGGCATTGAATTTAGGGCGCTACAGAATAGGCTATTACGAAGATTTAGATGAAAACATAGAGATGTAGACACATATGGTAGCGTAGGATAATTCAGCAACAAATACGTTAGGCAGACAGCAGCAAGCGACAGAGTAATACAAGAGGGAGCGTAGAGTAACGCAGCAACAGAGGGAGCAACGGTTAGGTACGGCGCAGAGCAGGCGGCGACAGAGTAATACCAGAGGGAGCGTGGAGTAACGCAGCTAAAGTGGAAATAACGGTTCAGTTAGACAAAGCAGGAAGCAATTGAGTAATACAAAAGGGTGTAGAGTAAGGCAGCAATGGTTAAGTCAGGCACAGAGAGCGACCAAGTACTACAAGGGGGAGGAATAGAGTAACGCAGCAAAAGAGAATGGAATGATTAAATTGGACACAGAGTAGGAAGCGACAGAGTAATAGAAGAAGTACAACACACAAGAAGAAGCGTAGAGTAACGTAGAAACAGAGGGAGCGAGGGTCAAGTCGGGCGCAGAGCAGGAGGGTCTAGAGGCACCTGGCGATGGAGGCAACGTTTAAGAGGGACACAGAGTAGGAAGCAACACGTAATACAAGAGGGAGCGTAGAGTAACGCAGCAATAGAGGGAGCGAGGTTCAAGTCGGGTGCAGAGCTACAGGGTGGAGAGGCACCTGGCGACCGAGGCAACGTCTAAGTCGGACACAGAGTAGGAAGCAACACGTAATACAAGAGGGGGCGTAGAGTAGGTAGCAACAGAGGGAGCAGGGGGCACCTGGCGACGGAGGTGACGGCGCCGCCGGGCGCGCAGACGGAGAGGCCGAGCGCGCCGTCGGCGCAGGGCCCGCGCGAGCTCCAGCTGAAGGCGCCGGGCGGGGCGCGCGCGCGCATCGAGTACGCCGCCGACATCATCTCGGCCGACACGTACGCGCCCACGCCTGAGGCCAGTTGGTTTTGTTAGCGGCGACCGACCCCCGCTACTTCGCGCACCAGGCGGAATGCAGAAATAGGTCTTGCTACAGCGAAGACTGTTGCGTGGCCCTACCATCATCAAGGCATCAATCCAACACGATTTGTGGCTGATCTGCTATGCACTCCACAATGAAAGAATGTAATATCTTATGATCCAAGTTTTTGTACTAACTCTTAGTGTATCCGCTGGGCCTAATGGAACAAACTATTATGACCCAATACAAACCAATTTTGATTCCATTACAAAACTGTGTCCTGCCTAGACACAAGGATACAGAAAATGTGGACTATTAGGTTACTACACCGAGAGAGCGGAGATCTTTGTTCAGCAATAGACCGCATACTACATACTCTATGCTATGGACCTTTTCGAACCTACATATAGAGAGAAAAGACAAATTTGTTCAGCAGTGGGACACGGAACTACTTGTTCCGGATAATAGACGTTTCATAATTTCCCGAAGAGGGTCTGCAATAGAATGTATCTAGAGGCAAGTGAGCCCCGTCCGCCCAGCGCTGGGCCTACCGATGAGCACGGGCTGCGCGATGTCGGGCGGGGCGCCCACCGTGCCCAGGGCCGGGCCGTGGTTGCCGCCGGACACCACCCACGTGACGCCGTACCGGTTCACCACCTCGGCGATGATGTCTCCCACGCGCCTGGTATACATACATTATATATTTATTTAATCGGACATTTGATGACTCCGTGGCGCAGTTGCCGAGATATTGGCTTCGGCGTCGGGGGTCGTGGGTTCGATTCCCATACGGGACAACTATTTGTGTGACCCACAGATAGTTGTTTCGCATCTGGGTTGTAACGTTTCTATATGAGATAGTGTATAGTTAATCATGGTAAGATTTAATAAAAGATATATTAGCAGTTAAGAAGTTGTATTTATCCCTTCAGTTTAATGTTACAATCCCTGGACTAGCTCAGATACAATATATTTTCAAAATATAACAATAATAATGAGTCGGGCGCCTTGTCTGTTAGGAACAGACTGTTGTAATAAATACAATTAAGTATCTCAGGGAGTCGTGAGTACATAGGACCTACACATTACTTTGTGCGACCATAAAAGGTTAAATAATTAAATTAATTTGAGATTATGAAAGTTATGCAATTCAATTCAAAAACAAAGTCCAATCAGGTAGTTATTTTAAATCTTTGTCACCGCAGACACCAGCCCTGTGTGCACAGGTCATATCCTTTCGAACAGGCAAAGGTTCAAAAAACTAATTTATCCTATGTCAATTCGAACCGGCGGCAATCTCAAATGACATGCAGCCTAGTCTTTAGAAAAACGACAATTTCGACAAAGTGATGAAATCACACGTTACAGGGTGTTTGTCCATGTGAAATTTATGTTTGTAAAACGTCCTTACAACACAGGATAATGTTATCCTACAGTGAAGGCAATGTTTTTAAAAAAAAATTAAAAAAAATCTTAATAACCACAAAAACGTGTCCATTTACTAACAAATGATTTCCTGATTTTAACTAGACCAGACCACGGTATTTTCAGCGTGTCACCACGGCAACGACGTGATGTGGTATGCTTTTTTTAAATAAAAAGGTGTATACTATTTTATACATACATGACGTTGGCCCATGAGGTCCCAGCCATAGGACAGTCCGTACTTTTGCAACATAAATATCGTATTGTAAGTAAAACACCATTTGTCACCATATACCATTTTATATACATGATGTTGTCGAGTGTGTATAGCGATGGGAGCATTAAGACGTTCATTTGCTCAAAAAGAGCCGTAGCGACTCACGTCCCCATAGACGGCCCGTATCGTTCACTTTTCAATCCGCAATCGCAATCCTTACTAATATTATAAACGCGAAAGACTGTATGTATGGATGGATAATGTCCCCTCACCCCGAGTTGGACCAGTGCGCGTGCTCTCCGTAGCTCATGTTGACGAGGTCGAGGCGGCGCTCCTTGGCGAGGCGCATGATCTGCAGGCAGGCGCGCACCAGCGCCGCGCCCGTCTCCATGGAGCCGAGGCGCGCGTCGCCGATCGTGAGCGAGACGACGCGCGCGCCCGGCGCGCACCCGTTCAGCTCCGGCTGGCCCTCGAAGCAGCCGGCCGCGATCGCCGCCACGTGCGTGCCGTGCGTCGCTGCAACCGGACACGCGCGCCTCAGCACCGCCACGACCACTCGCCCACCCGCACGACCACGACCACGACCACTCGCCCACCCGCACGACCACGACCACGACCACTCGCTCGTCCGACCGCGTGGGCGTATCATGTTCGACAGATACGGACGAAAATCTAGTCGTGGCATTCCCCCAGACGAGCCTGCTCAATTGTACAACTGCAAAAACTGCTGTATTCTTTATATTACCAAGTTAATCGATATTTACATTTATCATTTCAATAATAAAATAAGTCATTCGTTTTTCTCAGAAGGGATTTGAACCAAACAGCAGCACTGAAGCCTGCAGTTTAAAAATTGCATCAACTGATATATCAAACATACAGTCAGACACAAGTGTTGCTAGCACCTTAGTAACACCGAGTACACAATGATATAAAGAGCCCAAAACCGATAGCACTGTGCTTAGAAACATTCACACTCAACCCGCAGCACCATACTCTGACAAAGACTTTAAAAGGTTGCGGTAACACATTGGTACTGACAGCACATGCCGACGACCTCGAGGGTGTTGCCGTTGTCGTGCACGTTGATGCTGACGGTCATCTGGTCGAGCGCGGTGAGGTGCGCGTGCTGGTGGGTCACCCCGTACTCGGCCAGCAGCACGCCTTCGCTCAGCTCGCCCTGCTCCGATGTGTCGATGCACGCCCTGCCCAGCAACGGGTGTATCGTTAAATCTTTATATGCACACTAGCTGTGCCCGCGACTACGTCCGCGTGGAATTTAAAATAAAAAAATTTAATCTGAAATAAAAGTATCCTAAGTTACTCCTTATTACATCAGCTATCTGTCAGTGAAAGTCCCGTCCAAATCGGTCCAGCCGTTTCAGAGATTAGCCGGAACAAACAGACAGACAGACAAAAATTGTAAATAATGTTATTTTGGTATATGTACCGTGTATACAACTCCTGTGTAAGTTTGGGCACTTCTCAAAATATCTCCCTGTATGTATCGAAGAAGTTGACAACAAGGAAGAACAAGACAGCAGACAATTAGTTTGTGGTAGCATACGCTCACGACGGCATTCTACGTAGGTAGGTAGAGGCATATCCATCTTGTATGAATACAATGACCTCACAGAAGACCGGCGTGAAGTGGAAGTGTAACAACACTTCTTCGTTTCGTCTGGTGAATGAGATAACTGGGGCCTTCTTTATTAAACGGTGGCAACGCGTCAGAAACGTGAGGTTTCTGATGCGTTGGGTGTTGAAAATGTCCATGGATGACTAGCCAGCCACCTTCAACAATGAAAAAAATAAAGGCAATACCCATTTGAAATTTTGCAAATGGATGCCCTCAGTTAACTCAAAGGACAATTTTATCTAGAATTCATAATCAGAAACAGTATACTGCATATTTAGTTAAATCAACATCAGTTAAATTGAGCTATATCTTTAAGAAAATAAAGAAAAAATAATAAAGAAAAAACAATTTTCATGTTATTTCATGTTTCAATTGTGTGTATTGTTTAATGGCATGACAGCTGTGTGATACTTTTCCTTTTTCTATGTTTATTGCTTAGTTTGTATATGACGAGAACTAAAGAAATAACCAAACTAAAACGAAAAAATTACATGAACTTTACTTACCACCAAACTTCACCATCATGGAACACAACACAGTCATAAGTAGGGCCAATGTCTGAAAACTTCTTTTCCAAAGTCTGCAGTACTTCAATCCTCGCTTCAAGCTCTTCCTTCTGGAGCTTCTCCTCAGCGCTCAAATTTGAACTTTTTGATGCTGGTGAAATAAAAAGCGGTACGATAAATAGAATAGTCGAACAACAGCAATATACTTGTTATGTATAATCTTAAAGTTTTGTAAAATTACAGTTTTTACAGTGAAAAATCTGTAACATCTCAAACATAACATCCAATAACAAGTCAATGACTAAGCATCTCAAGACAGATAATGTGTAGTGTAATGTCATAGTGAAAAGAAATTAAATATATTGTTAAATAAATGTATCCACATGCTATGTGTTTAAAATGTTAGGAAGTTTATTTTATTAAATTTTAGAGATTTATTTTATTAGGATAAAATCTCTTAAAGAGTTGTCCGTTGATCACGTGTACTCGAAAGGGGAGGGGAGGGGTTTGGCAAAAATCAAGAAATATCACGGGGGTTTAGTAGTGAGTATATCACGTGTATTTATTTTTTCGACAAACACGTGATTTTTAAACCAAAAAGCAGCTCGTACTAAGCTTAAGCTCTTCGCGGCTCGCCCGGTTCGGCTTGCCAGTCGTCAGCTATACTGTTATTTTGGCTAAAAGATAACAGTGTAAACTTTTTAAGATTCTTTGTAGGTGCTATAAAATACACGTGTTTTGGGGGAGGGGTTACTCTTAAAATTTACCACATATCACCAAGGGGGAGGAGGAGTGTTAAAAAATGCTAAAATAATATCATCTGATTAATGGACGGCCCCTAATTCCCATAACAATGCAAACTATTGGTATAATCATGTATGTAATCTTTTCAATTTTTATAGTAACTCACCAAATTCAGTCTCAAACTCATGAAGTTTTGCGCTGGCCTCTGCGAATGCTTTTTTGTAACCAATGTCCCATAGGTGTTCCTTGCGGTACTCTTGAACTCGCTCCTTCAACTTGATAGGATATATACTGAAAGGGTATAAAACTCCTGTGCGCCATTCACCGGTCGGGTTCTTCCATGTTTCTGGTATCTAAATGATTATTTAAACAAAACAAAAAACATTATTACAACCTCAGAATTATTTTGAATGTAAGGGAAAAAGTGATTAATACATAATGGAATAGCTTGAAACATCTTATTGTGAATAAATCGATATAATAATATTAGCCTTTCATACCACCACCAATAATTATATCTTAAACTATTTTATAAATCTAATATTTAAAATTCTCGTGTCAATTCACGTATGTTTTTACGCATATTTATGATTAGGAGAATACATATTTACCGGGTGGCCTATCAAAATGTGGCTGTTAATATTTTAAATTAAATTTAAATAATTAGTCAATATACAATTTCATTTACTTATTTTCAATTGGCCTAAATGTTTTATTAATAAGTAAAAGATGATGAATACTTGAATAAAACATACTATTTCAAACAATACTTGCACAATTAAATTTTCTTTTACGTAAGTATCCTTGGTTTTATTTTTCATCAATATTATTATAAATTGATGAAAAATAAAAATTTTTATAATAAAAAGAAGACATTTGTTTTGGAATATTTATTAAGTTTATCCTACTGCTGTTTGAACCGGTGGTTGAGAACTCTAGCATTAGATGCAATACATTGCTATCCTCATCTGACTATTGATGTGATGTTACGCGCTAGCTCTCTTTTACTCACATTAAATATTTACGATCTTTAACAGCCAGCAACCCTAATTTGCGGCCAGATTTAATTAGGCAACAGAATATCGTAATAAACAGAAAAAAACTGCTTTAATTTGATGCGGGAAGAGGTAAAATGCCTAAGCTTTTAAACAGTGACTTACAGACGCCGAGAGGTTTCGCTCCGCAAACGGCTCTAATATATAATTTTTTTTATTATGAATGCTTTTGTTGCGTATGCTGGGTTATGATTAATCCGTTGATTCATGTCAACTTTCCTTTGGCCTTAACAAAACAAATAAATTATTGTGATATTAAAATGAATATGAATGCTAAAAAGGCAGAGAAGTAAAAATTAGCTAGAGGAAGATAAAGTTGGTGTTACAATTTTGTATTTGCAAGTCTAGAACTCCGCATCTATTACCTCTGCATTACCTACTGAAATTTACTCCTTTGCTTTTTAAGATTATCTTTAAAGATTGGAGTTGGAGAAGGAGCGGTTTCGTGTTATTGGAAATCAACGGAAAAAAAACCGACACGATCTCCAATACAACGAAGTTGGCGACATAGGATGACTTAAAGAAAGTCATGCATATGTCAGTAATCAGCTGACCAGTCATGTTTTTCGCTAATATACGTTTAACAAAGGTTTATGGTTGAGTCCTAGTGTTTTTATATCAAAGACACTTTATCGGAGAGTTAATGAACGTTTTAGCGTTATAGAACGATTATGAATAAGACTTTTTGGCAAACTATTTTTAGTGAGCTATTAAACCTCAGATAAGTTATTATGAATAAGACCATACAAGTTTTTGATATCTACTGGCCCCACACTAGGAAAGCCTGTCCTCTGTGTGCCTGTTGCAATTTACAATTTAAATTACATTAGTTGCTCTATCAACATATAAGATGCAACATATATATAACATAAAAACATATCATCTTCAGCATACTGTAGTTTAATCTAAATTTTTAAATAATCACAAAGCAACACTAAAAACCAATTAACTAACTTAAACAATTAAATTAAATACTTTTTATAAATACAATACAATACTACACATGTTCCATAAATATGAAATATATAATCTTTTTATATACTAAACTTAAAAGTAGATTTTGTAAATGTCCCTTACATAAGTTTACACTTTTACATGCGGGTGAAAGGAATTCTGAGCAAATTCATATTCAGTGGCGGATTTACCGGTACGCTAAGTAGGCTAGAGCCTAATGTGGCAGAGAACATGATTGAGCTTTTTTTAAGTTCAATAATATACCCAAATCCAATTTTTAGAGTAATCTACACTAAATCCTGGGTTGTAAAAAAATCTAGACACTGACAACAAAACCCTAGTGCAAAATCATAGAGCATAAATCATAAAACTGTATTGACAGAATAAATGTGATAATATATAATGAGTAATAGTAAACATGATTGCAAACTAGGGTCTAATTTCAGAGGTCAGTAAGAGAGGCAAAAATTAAACAGCCTATTGGCGACAAATTTGCAAATCCGCCACTGTTCATTTTGAAACTATACATGATAAAGAACAGCTGTTGATGACTGCAGAAAGTCAATGACCTAATGACATTGCAAATATCTCTAATCCTAAAATTTAAACATTAACAACCACATTTGCGCAGTAAACGCGCCATTGTTGAATTATAGACAGAAAATATAAGCTTCAAACAAAGAAACAGAACCAAAAAGGAATTTACCTTAAGTTTTCTCCCCGTAATACCGGTAATACATCCGTCGTCAACTTTTCGGACGGCGCTGGTATCCACATCTCCACATCCACTGCAGTCAAATCGTTCGATAACCTTTGTCTCCCCTGTGGAAGTTACCTGAACAAAACGAAGATTTTTATAGAAATCGCAACGAAATAACATCCAAACAAACCATGACAAGTCAGAAAATATTCACCTGCAGACCAGTGGCTGCGGGGTCAACGCCGGAATCTAAAATAGCAATTACCGTACCCCTACCGTCGTAATTTGGGTATTTGTTTAAAAACGATACAATCCCCGTTTCTTTTTTCGGTAATAATCCCCAAACAGGGAATTCGTTCTCAATCGGTACTTCAGCCATTTTTGATGACCTGATACTTGTGTTGCCAGTTGCCATGCCACTTTAGACCAATCGATATACTACAACGTGTTTTTTATGCATTATTTATTTTTAATGCATAACATTATTTTAATAATTCAAAAGCATTCATAACAATTATTATTCACGTTTTGTAATTGGAAATTACTTCATTTTCAATAACATTAACATCATTAATGTTAATTTTATTGATAATGTAGTTATTACCACTGGCAAATAATTTTACACATTTCTTTAAAACATATAAAAGAATTGATTTATATTAACAATTTTAAGAATAAAGACGACTTGTTCTTGAAATATTCGCCCGAATTTCTCAATCTTTGGTCGAACTATTGGAAATGAAAAGGGATGCCCCTTTCTTTTCCAATAGTTCGACCTCAAATAACTGCAATCTCAAAATGCAAAGAGAAAACCTAACCAACGATAAACATAAAAATTCTTGAATTCTAAAACCTTAAATTTACAAAAATCCTTCTAACAAGGGTACTTTATTAAAAACATTATATTTCTATCAAGTTTCTGGAAACGATACCATGAGGTCGTATTTCACATAGTTCTCTCATGAATTTCTGTGCTGATAAAGTTGTAACCAAACATTGCATTAGCTTTACATACAACAAGATTCTTGTTATCGTATTGACTCAGGACCTTGATTTTTTTACACTTAATAGGGATTATAGAACTGAGTATCTGGTATAAATTGTAACTTGCTAGGTCCACCCATTCCTGAGAAAATCGGTGGTGACACACGGACAGACAGACGGGCAAGAGAGTAATCTTATAAGGGTTCCTTTTTTACCTTTTAAGATACGGAACCCTTAAAAAGTACGCATAATTTAATAATTAAAACATTCGAATCTGTTTCAGTTCACTGACAATCCATACACGGTTTTATAACTTTCTAATTTAGGGCCGGTTTCAATATTCTATTTACACATAGATTTGGTTACTGGAGATAGAATTTTGACTTGAAACTAGACAGTATTACGGAGCTAATGTAAAATACTTATCACTAATAACCAAATCTATAGATAGAATATTGAACGGCGTTTCAAAAATGTAGCGGCACAAGCACCGAGATCTACACCCGGTTTCTGAAACAAACTAATCAGCTGTCAAATGGCTTTTCAAAGTTCATTTTAATTGCCAAAAGGATGGTTAAACAACAGCCAATTAACTAAAAAAATCCCTACATAATCATCGTAGTAAAGAATTTTCCATACCTTTACACAATATTTGAATACAGAAAATAAAAATAGTGGAAAGCACACAACATCAATACATAATTATCTTGTCTCCATTTACAACTTCTTTCACAAAACGTTTTGCTCTTCCTAATCAGACTCTGTCTATAACAAAGTTGAGATTAAAAAAAACTGTACTGCGAGACAAGTCAATAATATTCTTCTAGGCTTGCTTCTTACCCTCTCGTACGAGGACAGAAAAAATTATTGCAAAATCATTATAAATACGCACAACGGACTTATAGCATAAATCATTATTTTCATATAAATAAGTAGTATAATTACTCACCTTCTATTCTGTACTATTCAATCCAACTACCCCTTATCTTAAGAAGCAGTTTGAGTATCTAGTATATAGCAGTACAGGTATAATAGTCTTGTTTTAGCCTACGTGAGTATCAACAGTATTAACCCCACACATTGGCGTCGTTAAAATATTCGGCAATAGTGGCTTTAGCCATAAGTTTACTTTCAATTTTTCATTTAAATTCATTCAAGTGGCAGACTTAATAATCGACTGTGGGATTTTATTATACATGCGCACACTTTGCCCCAAGAACGACTTGTTTACTTTTTGTAGACGAAACAATGGCGTAGTTAGTTTGTCCTTATTTCTAGTATTTAGTTTATGTCTGTAATTAAACGATAACAGAATTATTATTTTTTTGTTTATTAAGGGCGGGACTTATTTTTGTCTTTATTTATTTAACCCCGAACTTGTTATTGTATCATCGCAACATTAATCAAATATACAAAATAGTGGTAACATTGAAATTACAAAATACATAATAAGTATTTCTTTTTAAGTTATCTCAGTAGCAGCTTTAATGACTACTATTTTAAGATATGCACAACTTATCTGCAACTAACGCCCGGTTTCAAGAAACCGCGAGTAAGTATCACAAATTCTTTAGTATTCACGACTACTGTATCTATGTAATGAATGCGCTCGTTGTTGTAGTAGGTACAAAACTGCAATAATTGGGTCAGTACATGTTGACTTTGTCTTGTTTATTAAGTATAGGTAATCAGAAAACACTCCACGTTTTGTTACAATTTATCTGATAGATAATTACATTCCTAATACACAGCCTTAATCAGAATTCGAACTTTCGGAAGCAAGCTCAAAATTCAAACTAAAATCGTAATTAAAAATTAAATTCTCTCTCTCTCATTTTAGGGTTCCGTACCCAAAGGGTAAGACGGGACCGTATTACTAAGACTCAGCTGTCTGTCTGTCCGTCTGTCAACAGGCTGGCTATCTCATGAACCGTGCTAGTTAGAAAGTTGAATTTTTCACAGATGTATTTCTGTTGCCGCTATAACAAAAAATACCAAAAAACAATAAAAAAAACATTTAATTGGGGCTTCCACACAAAAAATATGATTTTTTTTTGTTTTTATAGATAATGGTACGGAACCCTTATTGCGCGAGTCCGACTCGCTTTTGTTTTACATTGCCCTTACTGTAACATTATCCTGTGTTGTAACAGCGTTTTAAAAAATCAAATTTCATTTGGACGAACACCCGTATCGGAAACAATATATCCGTAGGTCACCCAAATACTTGTCCCGTGTGGGAATCGAACCCACGACCAACGGCAATAGCGCAAGTCGTACAATGGCTTGAGGTATCAATAGTGTGTAAAAGTAGGGAAGCTCACAAAGGAGTCTCAAAACAGACGAATAAAGTGCCACGGAGTAATCGAAAATTAGCAGGCACGAACTAGAAAAATAATCGTTTCAAGCTTTTTTACTGTTTCGTTTAGGTATCGATGACGAAATCACCTTTACAATGAATTCATATCATGAAAAAGAAATTACACACCTAATGGTGTATTCGCTTTTCAGTGGATAATAACATATTGCAATTTGCACCGTAACAGAGGTTAACATTGGAGAAAAAATATTAAAGAAAATATTTTTAGGTTACATTTTTACATAGCGTTCTCAAGTCTCAAACATACTTAAACGTACTTTTTTTTATAAATAAATACATTTTATACATATATAAACACCCTACTACTACACTAGAAAAACACTATGTTCATCACACAATATTTTTCCAGTAGTGGGGATCGAACCCACACCCGCTGACGCAGGAGGCAGGTACACTACCCACTACGCCATTCGGGTCGTCAAATAGATACACGGGAGATATACATGTGTATGAAAATATGTCACTATTAAAGTAAAATAAATATATTTTTTTTATGTGAGAAAGTGGCTAACGAACTGGCGATTCTCCTGATGTTAAGTGATAACCGACGCCCATGCTCATTTGTAACACCCGTAGGCTTGCAAATGCGTTGCCACCTATCAATAAAGTGGCCCCGACTGCCTCACTAACCAGAAGAAACGCGGAAGTGTAACACTTCCACTTAACCCCAGTCTTCTGTGAGCTCGTGGTACTTACACTCGTAAGAAGTGAAACTTTTTTATGACGTTATTTTTCAAAAAATAATTTACTATATGCAACTTTACAGAAATTGGTTAAATAAAGTTAAATTAGATAAAGTTTAATAAAAGGCTTTTATTATCATAGACATATATACAAATTCTACAATTATTTCATTTTAGCTTTGTATAATATTTAGTTTCTTATTTGTAATACATAGGTGGCGTTAGTAATAAATTAAAACACACTATGGTTTGACCGTTGTAATTAGTATGAGGGTCCGCAAAAATTGTTGATTAAAAAACTTGCAACGTGAACCTTGTTTATTTCAATTAACCTCACGGACCCAAAATACAACCGCTTTGAATTTGTACATGGTCCTTCGTTGCCGAATAGTCAGCCAGTGAGTAGAAGGCAGACATTCGACTCGCGCGCGGGTGTTGTGAGTGAAGTTTTTTGGAAAACCGAACTTGCGGACGTTGGATCGACGTCGCAACCGCAAGTTCCAGGAGCCGATCGAGGTTTCGAAGAGCATCATCGGTCAGCTTCAGATTGTGTCTTCGGTGGAAGGCGCAGTCAGGTCACGGTGGGCGTTGCCTGCCTTTGGAGAAGAGGAAGTCGACACAGTGTCGTGCTCTGAAGTATTAGAGCTAGCACTGTCATTACTACAAAGATTATTATTGAATTTCATTAATTATAGAATTATTACTATCATTGATTATTATGTATTTGTGTTATTAATGGCTTATGGTAACTGAAATACGAAATATATTGTTTACATTTTAGAATTAGAATTAAAATAAACCCTTTGATTTTGCTGATCACTTTAATATAACATATATATATATATTGCTATGAACACACGAAGGAACTAACGCCATCTAGCGTCAACTATTAAAACCACTAAAGAATAAAGACGACATAAAACCCCCTATTCAACAATAGATGGCGTCAGAGGAACATTTTAAGATAAAAAAAAAGATGGCGCGTAACGGAAAAATGTTACACTAAATTTTTTTCCAACCCCGATAAAGAAGTTTCACTTCAATAAATAAAATGCAATTAATTCTGTCGTGGGGGAAAACTATTTGTGTGACCCATAGATAAGACCCATAGATGTTTCGGATCTGGGTGTTTTTCCATGCGAAATTTATGTTTGTAAAACGAACAACACATTTATGTTTGTTCCTAGTATTTATATCATGAACATTATTACATCTTAAAAATTTCCTCGCCATCTGTGCGTTTGGAGGGACTCCGGGATCTCCTACGGAACGCACCGGTGTCCCTCGGTACTGGACGTGAGCACGCCTAGGAGAAGGATAAACCTTCCCCGATTCGCCTCGCCATCTTGCAGCAGCCCGAGGCCACTTCCTTTTACGAATGTGTTCTAAAATGCTGCAACATTTGATTGAACATGATTTTTTCAAAAACTTTACTAACTTGGCAGTACAGAGATAGGTCTAAAATTATTGTGGTCCGAAGTACTACCAGATTGAAACTCCGAAATCATATTACTGTGTTTCATAAGATCAGGGAATTAGCCACAATTGATACAAATATTAAAAATAGTCGCAAGGTAAGGTGATATTACATCAATATTACAACAGATCACTTTAATTAACCCATACTCGTATATCTGCAGTTGTTTACGTAGATGTTTTTTAACGTTTATATATTTTTTATGATTATTGGCAAATAGTGTTAGACGTGTTTATTGTCGCGTTTGTAACGCCACGCTGTATATGTATAAAGATTTTGCAGTACAACAAACTTTTTTAAATATGTTGACTATGATTGTATGTCCTTTCACTATAAAGTTCATGCAATCTACGCCTACTATTATGAATTCCGACTGTTGCCCATTCATCTATATTCTATGCAGATAAATAAAATTGGAGTGTCTGTTTGTAATATCAAAATGACCGGTTTTTACTAAATGCATATGGATGTATACACGGTACATATATCAAAATAACATTTTTTACAATTTTTGTCTGTCTGTCTGTCTGTCTGTTTGTTCCGGCTAATCTCTGAAACGGCTGGACCGATTTGGATTGGACTTTCACTGGCAGATAGCTGATGTAACAAGGAGTAACTTAGGCTACTTTTATTCTAGTTTTTTTTTTAAATCCATGCGGGCGTAGTCGCGGGCGTAGCTAGTTGAAAATAATACACAACACAGCATAATGTAAAAACAAATATAAAATACAGAGAATTTGGTTTTTCTTATCGTAGAGGACAGTTAGCTTTCGGCGGCTTGATAACATTCACTATACATTGATGAGCGAACGCATTAAAATACGGCTGTTTATAAAAGGGCTGTTGCCGTGAGGACTTGATACAAAACACGCCGTGCTCCCCTGGAAGGCAATCGCGAAAGAGACTTTGGGCAAGTCAATCATTTTTATAAAGTTCATCTCCCGTTATAAATTATCCCGTCAAAGGAAAAAAAGGAACACTTATAAGATCACTGTCTTGTCCGTCTGTCTGTCCGTGTCTCAACAAAGATTTTCTCAGGAATGGGTGGACTTAGCAAGTTAAAATTTATAGCAGATACTGAGTTCTACAGTCCTTATTAGGTGTAATGGAATGGTGGATATGGGCAAATTTATATTTTCGCGAAAACTTGTAAGTACCAAAAATTACCATAATTTAAAAAAAAAATTTTCAAATTTTTCCTTTATTACTGCTGTAAGACTTCGATTTTACCCTAAATTGACAATTCTAGGTCAACCGGAAGTACTCTATAGGTTTTGGGTCGAAAGTATCTGTCATTGCTAGAAGTGGAATTAAGTATAATACTTTCGCGTTTCCTCTGGTGAGTGAGGTAGCCGCAGCCCAGTTTTCAAAAGGTTGTCAACGCCTCTGCAACCCTCGGGTGTAGCACATGTCCATTGGCGGCGGTATTCACTTAACATCAGGTGAACCGCCTGCTCGCTTGGCAACTTTTCACATAAAAAAGGTAAATAATTATCTCTCAGCAAAAACTCAATGAAAATAGTTTCAAGATAAGGAAAACTAATTATTAATGTACAATCGTATTTACTATTTTTATGCAAAACTAGCTGTGTCCGCGACTTGATCCGCGTGGAATTTAGAATAAAAAAAATCTGAAATAAAAGTATCCTAAGTTACTCCTTATTACATCAGCTATCTGTCAGTGAAAGTCCCGTCCAAATCGGTCCAGCCGTTTCAAAGATTAGCCGGAACAAACAGACAGACAAAAATTAAAAAAAATGTTATTTTGGTATATGTACCGTGTATACATCCATATGCGTTTAGTAAAAAGCGGTTATTTTAATATTACAAACAGACACTACAATTTTATTTAGCTGTATAGATTGTTACAGATATTGAAATTGCAAAGTAAATAACACCTATAACCAGAAATGGCGACATCAAGTATAGTGGACAGGTAAGAGGGCTCTAGAATTTTTTTCTTCAATATTAGTCTTCATTCAAGCTATCTTAGTGATGAGAATTCGGGGGGTATATTCAGAAATGTTTTATGGTAGATTACGTTATGGATATTTGAACAGGCATGCTCAATATTTCGATCCGTCAACGGTTTTGGTTGGAACTGGCTTTTGCAACCGCCTGACGACCCCGTGATAGAATCTTAAACGAAAACCTCGCTTGGCTTGTTGAATGTAGAAGATAGAACACATGTGGCATATCTACATTTTGTTTTTGAGTTGTATTTAATTCGCAGAGAGTACAATTCATTTGACACGTTACCTCGATGCTCAGGGTTCGAATCTTAGAGGCAGGTTTAAATGAGTTTTCTCTTCTTCGGGCCATCTCACCATGTCCCGTTACCGATAGAACACTTTCTAAATAGCAACTCATTAGCAACCATTGAAAAATCTGTACGCCAGAAACGGTCAACATTGCGTTACATATTACTGTACATAATAAATAAATATTTAAGGACCCATTTTTACAAAACGTTCTCTAGTCTCAAACTAAGCAACGCTTGTACTATGGGTACTAGATAACTGATAAACATAGTTAAACATACTTTTCTTTTCTAAATAAATACATATTATACACGTATAAACACCCAGATACTGGAAAAACACTATGTTCATCACACAGTATTTTAACAGAAGTAGGGATCGAACCCACTCAGTAAATCTCTCTGTTCTCAAAGGATGATCTCAAAGTCATCGGTGCCAGCTAGGCCAACCTTAAGCAACTTAAATGCGGTTCTGGCGGACGTATACGTGAGGCATGTAGCCCTGAAGCAGGAGGATTGTCAGCTCTACTACAAAGTTTACACCCAAGTCTTCTACCGCCTACACGAGCTGATGAAGCAAGTCGATCCTTACTACGAACGGTACTCGAGCGCGGTGAGTGTCTCAAGTTTCTTTCCACCTCTCTATCTGTATCTTTTATAAAATGAAATTGTCAGCACCAAGTTTGAGTAACCCCATATATGGTAGATCTAAGATCTCTCACGGGAGTACCGAAGGGTAATAAATCGCACGAACACCGCTTGTCTCTGATTCAGATAAAATTCGCTGGGAGTCACTACGACAGGCTGCGCATCAACAAGCCGGACGAATACGACCTGGTAATCGGGATAAACGTGCCGGTTAACATGAAGGAGGGCATCGGGGGTGCGAGCGACATTGCCATCGAGCCAACACACCCCGGCTACGTGCAACTGCGCGCCGGCGTCCAGTACCAGAAGTTGCTGGTGCGAGACGGCGCAGACTGCGTGGTAAATAGGACCGCCCACCACTGGTTGGACGAGCGCAACTACATCACGCGGTCGAAATTCGCCGATTGGTTCAAGGTATACATCGATCTCTTTCCGCATGACCTTGCTGTGGTAGGGCCAGTCAGCGGTGTCTGTTGCACGTCCGAATGCCACAGCACATACAGACCAATCTAAACCAGAAGTATTTTTGGGCAGTTCTCGGTTATTGTCCTGTCGAATCTAACCCGTCCCACCAAAAGGAGCCCGCATGCCGTCTTTACATGAAAAACATGTAAAAACGTCTTGTGTCTTAACATCAGGTGAACCGCCTGCCCGTTTGTAAACTTTTAAAATTAAACAAAACTGGTTTTATTTTATTTTAACTTATGTCCTTGCCCGGGTTCTATATTTCTTAAAGAACAAGTTCTTGCACCAATTATTTCTATATTAATTCCACTGCATACATAATTAGAAATATGAATATTAATTAATAAACAATTACTATAAAGGGAGTCGTCAATAAGGCACTGGCGCGTCTCTCGCCGAACGAGTCTAACCGGCCGTGCATAGAGATCGCTGGGGTGCTGTACCAGATCAGGACCACTGAGGGTGGGCCCGCGCTCACGCTCGTGATCGAAGACACGAGGGAGTTCAAACTGGACGTTGACCTGGTCCCCGCCCTTATATTCCCCGACTCCAGGTGGCCGGTGGCAGGTTACAGGGCGATCCCACCTGCGTGCCACGTGGGCACTTGGATCCTCGTCCCGAAACCCAACAAGCACGGTTACACCGTCCACGACGAGCGCCGCTCCTGGCGGATCGGCCTCCAGGAACAAGAGAGGAAGCTCATTCACAACTCCTACAATCTACGCCTGACGAACAAACTGGTATGAAGCCATACGTTCTTTATTACTCTTAAGCAACCTTTGGTATTCAGTTACTATCAAAAAGGTTTCATTAGATCTATTATTAACTGTTGCATAAAAACAATTTTAACCAAGTTAAGTATTTGTATTTGTATAACTGATGTTACGCTTTCAGTCCTTAGACTATTAAAGCTTCATCGAACGCAGAACCGGTGGGCTAGCCAGAACCCACGGGTTTGAGGCCCTCCTCACTGGGTAGGGCCACGCATGCGTGCGTTATTTTTCATAGTTAAGTGTAATTTCAATGGCTCAGACTAAAACACACTGCCACTACACAACATGGGGATACGGAAAGAAACACAACAACACAGTGATTTAATATATATACAAAAAATTAATAAAACAGTTAAAGCGCCCCAATGTTATAGTAATAAGTACTCGAAGTCATGTAAATTTTTGAGGTTCGTCGGGTGAGCGAAGTGGCCGGGCTCACACAAATTTCCCATTAATTACTTTACTATTTAAATCCAAAGGAGTTTTTGGTAATGAAAATTCTCATCTTGATAATTCACGTCAAGTTCAATGTTTATGAATAACATAACCAGTCTTTTCACTTATTCTTCAAATCTATCGCAATTCACAAATTCGATTCAACGTTTATGTTTCCATCACGGTTATTCCAAAATCCCGAAAGATCGGCAATGGTGAAATATTATAGCTAATAATCCGTTAACACAATTTCCTATTGTAATACTATAATCAACATCGAATTTATAGGTTACAATAACTACTCTCAAACTTGACGGGTTTAATTTAACAGAAAATTTAAAATGCCAACCTGCGCCTGCACTACCGAAATCTCCTTTTCGCTGTCTTAAACACAGATAGGAATACTCTGCCCATTCAACAATTTGCAACGACGCTTATGCAATAATATTGTTACGTGTTAGGGTTCGAAGGATTTGGAGAGAAAGACCTGCTGACTCTTTTGAAGACTTTATTCAAGCACTAGGTCCAACACAAAGCACTAGGTCCAAACACTAAGCACTAACGATGTCCTATTTTGTAGCCAAGTCGTAGGTTTCACTGGTATCGCTCTTGATCACTAGTTTTCACTCCGAAGTCGCCTCGAAGGTAGCTCAAACTGAACTGTCATCGCTCGCCTCCCTGCGGCTTTTTATATGGGCCGAGACCGGTTCCGGACTAATCCAGAAAGATCCTTCCTGGAACGTACCCGACACGCACGAACATGTTCGTGATTCCGGAAAGTTCGCGAATGTACCCGGTTTTCGAGACTATAGTTCCACAGCAGTTCCTCTAACGCCATCTAGTGTTGAATAGGGGGTTTTATGTAGTCTTTGTTCTTAAGTAGTTTTAATAGTTGACGCTAGATGGCGTTAGTTCTTTTGTGTGTTCATAACAATATTAACAAAAAAAACGAAATGCAGTGTGCAAAACTTCATAAGGGAAAGTTCCACCTAAAACCTTTTTCGCCGTAAATTAAGCGTATGTGTATACATATAAACTGAGGCCCGTGGATTTTGTTTCTCAGTAAAAATTTTTAAAAAAAACTTATGACGTTTCAGCTAAAGAAGCTGCGCGACTCGCGGGGCATGACCAAAATTGCCAGTTACTATATAAAGACGCTGTTCTTGTGGGAGAGAGAGGGGAGTGACGAACGGTTCTGGTGTCGCAACGACCTGACAACTCTCTTCAAGCACATGCTGCGGAAGTTTCACAACGCGCTCGTGGAAGGAAGAATCAGCTACTTCTGGAACAGACGGTACAACCTGATCGGACACGTTAGCAAGCAAGTCCTAAACGGCTACGCCAACATCGTGGCAAATTTTTTACGTGAACTCGAAGAAATACGGGGGCACGAGAAGGCGGCCAAATACCTACTGACAGAGGAGGAGTGGCAATCGTACAAGATGTTTTTCCAAAAGTAATCCGCTTGAGAGGTGTTTAGGTATTTTTTTTATTTCGTAAGTATAAAGACGTAATAACCAACGTTATTTTATCAATCGCCGACGAACATCTATCTATACGTAACGGACACTCGGACGTAAAGCTAACTTTCACGGATACCCACATAACTTTACAAAAATATCTAAGTGCGATAATTGTAGGAAAATTATAACTAAACCTTCAGTGGGTCTAGAGTGCAGTAAGTGCGTAAGGATGGTGCATCTGAACACAAAGTGTACAGAGCTAAGCAACAAGCAGAACGCACTGAAAGCTGCGCCCAGTCTGGAGTGGACATGCCTAGATTGCCAGCAATAAAATCCAAGACGTTACTCATCCATCACCACCCCAGATGATGACGACGATGAGGACGGTAAACCTGTTTAAATAAACGCTAAAAAGTTATTAAACAACATAACTAAGGAAGTTGAAAAAGCAATCAAAAGCGAAATGACACAACTAAGCGATTCGTTGCAGTTCCATAGCGCCAAGCTTGATGATGCAGTGGAGTGTATAGAAGCTTTCAAGAAGACTATACAGGCACTAGAACGGAAGAATAAGGAACTAACTTACGAAAATAATAACATGGATACCCGTGCCTTGCCAACGCCTTCAAGAGATAGAACAAGAAAAGCTTGCAAAATTTGTGGAAATTGCACATGCACCCTAAACAATGAAGACATCAAATCTGTAGTAGAAACAATTGCTCTTAAGATTAATCAGCCTAAAGCAAACATTAAAAGTGCATGGAGACATTTTAGTCGAGTTCATAGATGAACATATACATGAAAACTGAATTACTGCCGCTACAAATATCAAACCTAATATTGAAGATATTATCGCTACGGAGAAAAATACAAAAGTATTGTATACCCAAGAGAAGCCATGAAAAAACTTAATAAACAATTACTTTGGAACGCTAAATGGGACGTAAAAGACGGTCAAAACTACAAGTACGTATGGTTTAAAAAAGGATGGGTCAAAACACGCAAGGACGACGGCGAAAAAATACGTACCTTTACAAGCATGAACGACATATACGTTTAACCAACGACAAGGATTGAAATATAATATAAGTAAATATATATTAATAAATGTATACAAGTAAATATAAAATTTATAAAATTTGTAATTATTGTTTTTGTATAAAAATGTATAAAATTTTCAACTCTAAATGTGAAACAAGTAAAACCTGATGTACTATTACATAGGGAAGTACTTGACCCTGTTGACACGACTGTATTTCTTGGCATAACTATAGATGCCAAACTGTAGTGGGGCCCCCATATTAATAAGCTGACGAGTAGACTTAGCTCAGCTGCCTTGACGATAAAAAAATAAGACAGCTGACAGATGTAAATACTGCTCGTTTATTATATATTAGTTATTTCCACAGTATAATATCTTATGGCATTGTACTTTGGGGAAACACCGCTGATATTAATACTATCTTTGTCCTCCAAAAGAGCTATTCGAGCGGTTTATAACCTGGGCCCCAAAGAACACTAAGAAATTTGTTCAAAGAGATTAAAATATTGACTGTTGCTTCTCAGTACATTCTTGAAAATGTTATGTATGACCATAAAAACAAAAATGAATTTTCAAGACATGCGAATCTAATGATATAAACTACTGCTAGACTCTACTACCAGAGTGCGTACTAATTCTTTTATGGGGTAATGTGTACGTTTTTACAACAAAATCCCAGAAAACTTTCACAATGTATCAATTTCTAAATTCAAAAAAATTGTAAAGGAACGTCTGTGTGTTAAAGGGTATTATAATGTTAGTGATTATTTAAATGATAACACACCCTGGAAATGAAGTGATCGCTCCAGGCTCTTTCAAGTTCATATTAATGCATTTGTAAACATGTCTTTATTTGATAAACAATGGTATAAAAAAAAAGAAAGTCCCGCTGAGTTTCTTTCGCCGGTTCTTCTACTTTATATTAATAATAAATGGCTGGTTCCTTCAACGATATAAATGAGATCTCCGTTTGTCTAAATGTACATGAATTTTTAAACTATATTTCTAATAACCAACTTATTTAATATGCATACACATTAATATTCAATCTTTAGCTAAGAAATTCTCCGCACTAGAAAAAATAATATAAGAATTATGTCAAGAAAATGTGTCGATGTAATCATCCTAACTGAAGCTAACACATCTGAGAGCAATAGTTGTTTATACCGTTGCGAAAGTCTCGAAAGGGTGGTGGCATAGTATTATATGTAAATAATAAACACAAATGTAGTATAACAAATGTGAAGACTAAATAATTCGAATGCATCATGTGCATCGTCACCACACAATCGAACTTTACTCCACATCTGTGTGTGGTATACATCAAGTTCTAGCAAAATTCTATTTATTGAAGAACTACAAACTATACTTTAAAAATTCACTAAAAGTACAGAGTTTATTTATATGTATAATATTCGCGTAAAATCAAGAAGTCAATATGATCTATAATATTTTTTTAGTTTACAAAACAGCATAAAGATGAAATTCTTTCAAGCAAATTATTTTTGTTGTAATAAAATTATCTGGCACGTAAAAATTTTAAGCTCGAAAAGTTAAAAGTGACAGTAGTTGGGATAAAACATTTGTCAACGATTTCAATAAGTTTAATTTCTCCCGAGTATGTGGTATAACATTTTACCATCCTATCTTATTGTAACTGGATCAATCGCTTTTGGGGGATATGGGTTGTGGTGGCTACATTATTTAGTGCTTGGTAACGTGAGTATTAATAATAATTATTATATTTAGATAAGATCTAGATCTTGAATGCATAGCAGTCAAGAACGATAAAAGTCCGAAGGGACATTTTAAAACGTGCCGTATTGAGAATGATTGACTGAATCGACTCATCATAAAATTTAGAGATGAAACGGATATCCGATAACTATCCGGTATCCGGCCTCATTTGGGCTATCCCGCCGGATGCAGGATTGTAATTTATATAGAATTTATTAGAATACCCTCGAAATTAACACTTGGCTATGTTATATGATATGACTCCGCTTGGCTTCGTATACCAAACCAGTTTTTAAAAAAGGCTTTTCGCTGTAAACCTGCCAGGCGCTTAAAGATCTAGCAAAGCTTGACAACTGCGGATACTGACTCAAAATTACTGACCCCCAAATGGGTCGTGATTGCGTTCAATTCGAGATGTCTTAAAGAAAAGTTGGAATATCCAGTAGCCGGTGTTCCGGCCTTGTAACTTGCCGAATATCCGGTAGTATATACGATATAAAATGTAGTACATGCGGGCGGAGCCGCGGGTGAAAAGATAGTCTTTAATAAAACATCGTTGCACAACACTGACAAGAGATGCGTATCTGACATAAATCAAAATAATGATAAAAAGATTTAAAAAAAAAGCAGTGTTCAAATAAAATGATGTATGTACGTATATTACAACGTTACATGCAAAAAAATGCATATTTATGCAATAGCAGCAATCGCGGTTGATTTCCTGTTATATTTCGAAGAGTTCCGTTCCTATCTCCGAAAATCATCATCAGATCTATATTAAATTTATAGGGGACCATTTTGGAATGAAACCCTTTCGAACAAAAATTTTGCAATTCCGCTTATACAGCGTGTCGTTACCATCGCGACAATAAATGAACACACGTCTAACGCTACTTGCCAATAATCATAAAAAAATATTCACGTTACAAAAAATCCATAATTAAAAGAAAATATTTTTCAAACAAACTAATTAAGTAAAAAAGAAACAAAATTTGTAACATCCTATACAACTCGCGCCACAGCGTCGCATTACAAGTCTCTCCTTCTAACAGTAAGTTTTGTCTCTTTTAAATTCATTCAACCCATTCATATACTTTGTGACCTTTAGAAATGAACTTTACGTTATAGTTTTATACGTAAGGGTGTTCTAAAATTCTTTATTTTGGAAAATTTGATAACTCGGTAATTATTGATGTTTAAAGAATGTAAATAATCTTTACTACAATTTTAAAAAGTTATCCTCTATATGTGTGTTCATTTATTGTCGCTATTGTAAAGACACGCTGTATATGACGGAAGTTATGCCCGAACATACATAAAAAAATACATATAAACATCCGACTTGATAACCTCCATCTTTTTGAAGTCGGTTAAAAGCGCTCTATTGTGTACACGCTCGTCTCCGCATTATTAGATAGAGATGAAACATCCGAGTCAACCATCATGCTAAGCGCATAGGGCCTACAGGCAACGTGGATATGTACCCAAAATTTACGGAAATTAGAGCTATATAATAGCGGAAAGAAATATGTAATGACTTCTCTTTAGCTCCCACCTCGCATCATCACCCAGGCAAGAATAGAGAAACCGGAAAAACGCCGGTAAACTTAACGTCATCATGACGTAAAGTTTTTGCTTTTTTAAGATTAGATGAGAAATAAAGGAAAAATCCGAACTTGGTAACTTGTATTTATCTTAGGTGATAAAAAAAAGATTTTAAGGAATCTTCAAAGTGTGAAAAAGATCACTCGCGCTAATCTGAGTTTTTTCAGTAGCATAACCGGTCATCTCGGGTTAGTGCGAATAGTATTGGTGATGAAAAAGTGTAAAAAAATATTATATACTAGCATTTCACCCGCGGCTGCAGCCGCAATTTTATATCGTGCTTAAAAAGTACAGAACCTCGCACTTGGCCAGTTTTTTTTAACTTTCTATAAACTTACAATCATCATCATTGTACAGACCATAATATACAGTTAACTATAGTTTCATCCAATTTAAGTGTAGCTATTATATTACATTTCATCGCACAAATCTTCTTGATGTGATTCTTAAATTGATATAACTTTTATTATAAACCGATTTAAATAAAACTAACACTAAATTTTAGGTGAAGCTTAATAGGTACATTTGTGCATAAACGTAGTGGTTATATTCTCTTTGCATTTGTGAAAAGTTGTACCCAAATAACCCAAATCGGTTAAGTCGTCTCTGAGATTAGCGCGCACAGACGCACAGACGCACAGAACAGATAAACACAACATTTTTAATATTTTTATAAAATTTAGTTAAACAAAATTTTATAATGGGTTCTACTTCGTTGATAAAGACCCCCAATAACAGTTTTTCTCAAATATATTCCATGTACAAACATTTGTGTCTTTTTATTACATGTATTGATTAGTAAATACAAAAATACCTTATACGTAACTTTTCTACATACTAATTAAAACAAATATTTAATTACTCAATTTTTTTTCTGTAGCCTACATAGCTTTGACAATTACATAATTACATAATATAACAACGGTATATTAAATAATATAAATATTAAATAAATATAGTTCACGTCTTCACGATGCCGACCGTTGCCTCGGCCTGAAAAAAAATAAAGAAATTTGCCTTGATACTCGATTTCTAAGTTCATATTTATTTAATTTATTAAAAAAATGTGGTACGAAATCTTACCAAGTGCTTTTATCATAACTGCCGCTCTAGGTTTGCCCGGATGGGGTCTCTACCATATTCATAACTTGTATTTAGGAAACGTAAGTCTTTAAACAGTGATATCTTTGTGTTAGGTAACATTTTGAAGTTTATATATGATATTAAAATTTACATTTACACTACTACATTTTTGTTTTATGATAAAGAATATTATGTATCTAATCTATATATTAGAATAACAGTGGACATTAGGTTCAAAAACTTGCGAACAATAATAGCACCTATATCTAAGATTATTTTTCTACTTATTTAATCTTTATATTAGATTTATAACTCCACTTTTAAAAGGGGTTATAGAATTAACTCTATATCACAAACCAGCAATCTGTTCTAGATTTGCATGGGTATCACTAATTAAGTATCAAAATAATTAACTGATCCTATTCATCTGATCGTTAATGTTCACTGGATCACGTGCTGGACTAATAATTAGCCGAAAATGTCTTTCAAAATCAGCCTAGCCATTACTACATACCAGAGATGCGCAAAACAGTGCTTCTAAAAGTAATGTGATGTTTATTACATCATGCATCAAAGTAATATTACTCAAAAGCAAAAAAGGCTTTACTTATTATGCAGTAGGTTCCTAGTACACTACATTATTATAGATCGGTATTAATGATGATGTTGCGATTTCATTACAATAACATACTTTATTAAAGCATAGACATAAAGGTCTTTCCTATGGGGAAGAAAACACACAATTCTGCTTGAGTAACTCCATATCTGTTTTCTATCTCTGCTTAATAATGATGTTTCTAACACCTAGATAATGTGAAAATATTATTTTTTATTTCCAGCACTATAGACGTTCATTGGATGACAGATGGGACCGCATGCTGTACCAAAGAGATACAAGGCTTGTCAATGATGCCTACACAGTCCTTGTAAGTTAAAATAACTTAGTTATGAGAGATATTTTAAAATTAATATTTACAACAAAGGAGAAAAAATAGTGAGCATATTTGATTCTACCTATTACTTTTTATAATAAATAGCTATATAATGGATATATACCGAAGATAGATTGATGGTTTATTAAATCACATATAAACTGGCATTTATTTAAAAAATGTCATGTAACTAAAATATTAATTAAATAAAACATAATATGTCAACAGATTGTTATTAAACTTAATTTTAACAACAAAGACAATAGCTTAAGATTGATGCAATAAGATGTAATAGAAAATTTGCTCTCTTTGGCTAGACAATTTTAAACTATATGAAAAATATACTTTATAAAACCAAATATATAGGCATTGTTATACATGTCGTAAATTACTGAGTATTTAATAGACTAGGTACAGATGAGTAGAAATCTTAACACTTTATGCTAACTTATGTAATTTTCCATTATTTCTAAATATTATGTTCATCTCATTACTCAAATTATGTATAATTAATGATTAAATGTAGAGAGTTGTGATAGCTCAGTGTCCGGGCGCTTGACTTTAATTACATTTACTTGAGCAACCTGAGTTTGATCCTCGGTACCAGCATCAATGAAATTGTTAATTTTAAGTGCTCAATTGTTATGAGCTCGGCAGTGAAGGAAAACATCGTGAGAAAACCTGTATATTTTCGAAATAATAATAAAAAAAATATGTATTTCGAAAATATGTGAAGTCCGCCAATCCACAATGGGGTCGCATGGTGGACTATGCCCTGATACACTCTTTACAGAGGAGGCCTTTGCCCACCAGTGGGACATTTATAGGCTGTTACTTTAATAATTAAATAATAATATTTATTGTTGTAGAAAAAATTATTAAAATTTTGAGTGCATAAATCAACTGACCTTTCATTTATTTACAGGGGCTGGAAAATCTCCCGGACAAATGAATATTCCTGTTGGGCTGATAAACGTGTATTAAAAATAAAACATATAGAAATTGTTTAGTATATTTTGTTTTTCTTAGCATGTCTAAATTTTTAAATTATTTTAAAATACTATTACTTCCAGTAATAAATAAACTAGTGGCACCTCTAGCTTATAGATGGCCATGGGTTAAAATTCAAGTGACTTACTGAATGAATTATCAGTCTTCATATTACTTGCATGTGTTCAATCACATTCAATAAAGCTATAAAAAATTAAAAGAATTCATTATTCTACTTTAACTCCAACCCAGGTATCTTGCTACCCTCTCATGAAGGTAGCAAGATATCTGGCTTCATTTAATTCTATGTGATAACTGCTTGTTTAGGAAATCTGCAGCAGTTTTTAAGGTTTTCATATAAATTGCCAGCCGTTAAAAAAGAAGGCCTCAGTTACCTCAATCAAAGGATGAAACACGAAAATATTTCACTCTAAGTAGTGTAAAATCAACAAAATTGTAAATTTCTACTCAAGAAATTATTAAGAATAAAAAAATTAGTCATGAAAAAGCTCAGTAAATTAAAAAGTTATTCTAATTAAGTTTAAAAAAAATGCAAATTCTCTAAATTCACAGAGATTTAAGTAAATTAATTATTTAGAAATAAAAATTTTTTATAGTGCTAATCTAGCCTAAAGAGCCGTGATAGCTCAGTGTCCGGGCGCTCGCCTTTAATTCAATATACTCGAGCAACCTGAGTTCGAGCCCCGGTGCCGGCACCAATGAAATTGTTAATTTCAAGTGCTGAGTTTCCGTGAGGAAACCTCCATATTTTCGAAATAATGATATGTGAGTTGCATGTGATTTAACATTAAAATTTGTAGACAAAGTACAAAAAGATTCTCGCTGCTGTGGGATACGGGGGCGATTAGCGCTATAAAAAAATTAAATTTCTAAAAAGCAATGGCGACATCTCTCGTTTGAATTATCGTTGTCAAACGATATCGAAATTGTATGGGAAAGGATATATATAACAATGGATGCGCCAAGCATTTGCTTCAAATGCTAAAATAATGTAGATAAAAAACGTTAAGATTTTTGTTTTGTTGTGGCAATCATCAGCCGTTTAGCTTAGTGGATAAAGCGTCAGGCCGCGAGTGCCGATGACGTGGGTTCGATTCCACGATAACCTTTTCGTACCTTTTCTACAAATTTTAATGTTAAATTAATTATAAGTACCTAAATCTAAGTTACAAATGTAACTTACGCCCGGTTTCTATAACATTGATCATCTACTGATGATCAATGTTATAGAAACAAATGATCGAAGAAGTTAACTAATCAGCTGTCAAATAGCTTTTGTAATGTATGGTTAAACTCTGAATTGATCAGAATGATCAATTCAAATAGTTTATCCTTTTGGCAATTCAAATGACATTTGACAACTGATTAGTTAACTTCTACCATGATCAGTGTTTCAGAAATGGGGCGTTAGTGTTTGGTAATATTATTTCGTCGTATTCAATTTTGTGTTTGTAGTACTTTTCCTATGCGAGTAGGTATTGCGATTCCAGTGGCGGCGAAAATTCTTCATCGATTTTTCTACAAACTTTAAACTAAAATAACCTCTAATGAAAACATTAACAAAGTTGTGAAAAATCAAACATCCGTTACATCACTAATCATCATCATCATTTCAGTCCACAGGTGGCCGTAGGCTTCACCCATACTGCCACAAAGTACAATCCCGAGCCACCTGCATCCATCGACTTCCTGTTCACTCCATCTAATGGGAGGCCGTAGTAAACTGCGATGGCCATACGACGCTGCCAAGAACTTTCTTCCATGAGATATACCTGCAACATTCTGTACTAGGCCTCAAAGGTATGGGTATCGCCGTATACCCGGTGCTAAAACCCAGTATCAAAATACCTATAGGTATTAGTTATGTTCAGGCCTCCTTTTGGAGACTCGGTCGAATCAAACGAATTGAACCTTTGGTTGGAATTTGAACATTTAGATGTTTTATTGGCAATCAGTTTTTTGAAATTGAGATTTTATCAGACTAAAATAAGCTCCATCTTTACTAACGTAAAGAATTTATTAAGAAATGAAAGTAATTCGAAATCAATATTACTGTTTAATCTAATTACGCAATTATTTATCTACCTTATTGTCATAGAAATAAAGAATAAATTTATCTCAAGTAATTATTTGGTATAAAATGCCATAGGCGGTCGAGCGCGAACGTTATGAAATACCGATTACCGCCACCGTCTGACGAGGCGGCACTAGGTCCGCGTACTCGTGAGCGATATCGACAATACCTATCCGGGTCCGGAATGGGCCTCTGCCGTACATACCCGGTCTACGTACTGGTACGTTCATACTGGGTATTTATATCTGTTCCAGTATATACGCCTCATCTCTATTTCTTCCCCATTAGCATTATTATTATATACTCTTTGCCGATTAGTGCACATCACTAGTATCTATCACCTTATTTGACTTCAGATTCAGACTTTAGTTTTGATTTTGACAAATGACATCTCGGCAACGGTGCCGTTGCCGAGTTCTTTTTCAGTGCAGTTCTTATTCTTGATTCTTGTATCTAAAGATATTGACAAATTCATAAAGACAATTGTTTACAAGAAAATTTTTTCATTACTTAGGATTAATATCAACGATATTACATATGTATGTAGTTGTTAATGATAAATTAACATTATGGATAATTGTTTCATTGATATCACTGTAGAATTCTTAGCAGTTGCTTTTCATAATATATTATACTCCTGTTCCGTTTACCCTGCAAGTATATTTGATATGAGAAAAAAGTATAGTATTGTTGTGTATCGGGCAAAACACCCGGAGGTTAATCAGTATATTGATCTGTGCTTAAAAAGTGTTGCGGAGTGTTTAAAAAGCGGCACTCTAAAGCGCGTTGAGTTTGCAGTGACTGACGAAGAGCATGCTCCCTTGGCAAAATTTATTTTCGATTTTGATAAAAGCTCTACGTACGATGAAAATGCGGACGCATATTTAATACAAGCCGAGCAGAATTTACGTGCATTTTGTTTAAATTTGATCAGAGTAAGCGACAAGTTAGACAATTTACCCGATAATAAAAGTTTCACAGTATATGTTCACACTAATGAGTCAACAGCTGTAGCCATAGCCTCTAATGCAGATTTTGAAGATTTTCCACTCATTGAAGTAGAAGATAAAATTGAAGAGATGGAAAGAATTTTGCCATTGCAAAGGTTTGCATTGAGGGGATACAGCATAGATGCCTATGTTGAAGTAAGGTAACACCTGAAATTAAATTGTAGCAAACTTTTGTATGAATACAAGTGTAATAAATTTATATAGTACATTGGATTGTGTCAATTTCTTTGGAGTAATTAAAAAAAATGTAATAATGGCACTATTTATGGATATATATACAGGATTTTATTCACTCGGAGAGTTTTGTAAAAATTGGACAAAACGAAAATATTTATTAATACTAAAAACATTTGTTATAAAAAAGTAATTGCTCATTGAAATCCAAATAATTTGCTTCAAACTAGAATTGTATTTACTAGCTAAAAGTCATGTAACTAGAGGAGCATTTAGGGTTTCATTCTTATGCCTTGCTAATGAATAGATGGTGTGTGAAGAATTATATTTCTGTGAAATGGGTGAATACTGAGATGACTTGATAGAGGAAAGTGAAAGTGACATGTTGTGCTGGCCCCACCTAGTGTGACAATGATAGGAGAAGGAGAAGAGACCTAGTTTGTTTGATTTTATTATTTTTAACAAAATTTTAAATCATCCCTTTCCTCATTAAATAATTAAATTGATTACAAAATGACACTAAGGCCAAATATGCTAGAAACATTTTAAATGTTTGCAATATAAATTTGCACATGTATATAATGTTAAGGTTATTACATATTACATGTCTGTACATTATATCAATACATCATACATTAATCTAAAGCTATTTTCAACAAACATTGTTAAATCATGGTAATAAAAGCTCAGTTCTTTAAATTATGTGAATAATATGATGGTTGAGATACCTTGATTTGGTCAGTAACTGAGCAAAATTTTGATATAATTTACATTTTTGCTCTAGGCTAGAGTCTAAATACAACATTTATTTAGTGATATTAAGTTCATATGTCAGTGTGAATATGTATCATGTATATTGTATGTTTATTTATTGTTTTAGTTGTTACATTTTAAGTTTAGTTCATTAAAAAGTATAATAATCATATTAAGTTATTTCGAGTTATTTTCGAGTTATTCCCTAAGTTATTTCGTCACATGTGTAATTCACAATAGGATTTCTCAAGATTTTCACATCAATAACAGTCTCTGGGGTACAATTTCACTTTCAAACATCTCAACCTCGAGTAAATCTCGTCCCAGTCGACGTAAACTCCGACAAGTTTCCTCACGTTGCCGTCGCGATCCTCGTACTGGTTCCTGCCGTGGAGCAGTCTTACGTTGTCGAAGGCTAATATATCGCCAGGCTCCACTTTGAAGGTAGCCGAGAATCTTCGGCTGAGCTCGTAGAAAAGGCTGTGCGCTTCGTACCAGGGCCGGACTCTCTCTATCGGCCCGGGGAAGTGGCTGCCCCTTTGCGGTACGGAGAAGTTGATCCTGGCCACCTCGCCGCGCCCGTCCAGGCACACGACGGGGGCGCGGTACAGTTTGTGGAACTCTTCGCCGTTCTCCACGCCCACGTCGCGCCACTCCACTTGGGTGTCGGCGAGCAGGCCGTATTGTTCGGGGTGGTTGGCCCTCATGTATTCCGCAACGTAGTGGCAGTCGGCGAGGGTGTTCTCGCCGCCGCGCGACTCTGTCTGCACGAGACAGTGCAGCAGGTTGACGCCGGGGCAGTGCTCGTAGTACGGCAGGTCGGTGTGCGGCTGCAAGTTGCTCGACTGGTACGCCACGTTGCTGGTGTCCGGCACGTGTTGCACCACGAAGCGCACGCCGTAGTGGGTGCGCTTGGCGAAGCCCACCCTGCCGACGAGCGCGTCGAGGGCGCTCTCGTCGCCTGGCGCGTTCCTCACCAGGGTGACCCCGTACGTGGACAGGTCGTGGAGCCACCGGTGCAGCGCCTCGTCGTAGACCACGATCTTTTTGTAGTCGTGCCGCGCGCAGATCTCTGGGAACTCCTCGCCCCGCCACGTCCTCTTCGGCGGCCTGTACAGTTCCCTCGTGTATTCCGTCTGATCGCGCTCGGAGAAGCTTCGGAACTTGAGCCAGTCTGAGTTGAAACGCGACAAGTGACCGTCGTCCCACGTCACATTCACGGAGCTCTCGTCTTGGCGAACTTCGACCGGCCTCCTGTTGACGTCGAACATGTTCCAGTCCAGTATCCGGCTCTTCGCCGTCTTGTGGTAGCACTGCTCGCACTGGCAATTGTCCCTCAGCCAGACGTGGGGGAATTTGAGCGTCTCCCCCCTGATTCGCAACGTTATCACATCCTCACCGATCCCGTGGCACCCGCGACGCACGATACTACACGACGTTTCGCTCGATAGATATTTTAAAAAGCACTTGACGTCGCGCAGCCTCTTTATCTGAAGCATGTTCGTCGCTCTCCGACGGGCTCCGACCGATAATTTGTGATAATGGGTCGTTAAGTTGGACGCGGTCGCGCCGTGACGCAATTCCACAAACTGGTTAAATGGCCCGTTGGTATATTTGCTCGCCGATTCAATTATTACGCGCGTGAAAGTATATCCAATAAATGATGAATTTTAAAACTTTGCACCAACTCTAGGCGAGTGACAAATTGTAACAACTTTGTGTAATACCCCTACTCTTGCGACTAATTAATTATCTTTTAGAAGATAAAGCCAATTAATAGAATTGACCCATTGACTTGTAGGAATCAATTTACTTATCGCGACAAGTCGCTTTTTAAAACACAGTACTCGTAACCATATTAAAGTAATCTAGATAATTTTGGGAATACTCAAGATTCAAATCCTAGCTTTATTATTTTTTTTACGCGTAAAGACTGACGAGAGAATCATGAATATATTAGCCAATAATACATTTCTAGCCATAAATAAAATCTCGTTCAAACGATCAATTAATAAAACTAGTTTAAATAATTATATTCGGATTTTAAATTTAGCGGACCCGACTGACGTTGTCCTTCCTGTAAACACGACTGAAATCCGAAAACAACTTAGAAGTAAAAAAAAAATATGCAGTGGATCGAATCGTGAATCCAAAACTTTCTCGAATCGACCTGAAGACACAGAGATTTCATTAAAATTGGTCCAGCCGTTTAGGAGTTCAGTGACACATACGTACAGAAGAATTATATATATAAAGATAAGAATATGTAAAAAACTTATGACCCAACTAAGATGAGCTTGAAATTGCCTAATATTTTATTTATTTGCTTCAGTTCAAAATTAACTGCAGTAGGGCCACGCAACACGAATGTTGCAACAGGACTGGTCCGTCCGGATACTTATCCGTGGTACTTACCACGACCTCACAGAAGACCGGCGTAAAGGGGAAGTGTTATACTTATGCGTTTCGTGTGATGAGTGAGGTAGAAGGGCCCAATTTATTATTTATTTATTTATTGCACATCCATTTAGTAACAAAAGGTGTTAGGGTAATTAGTAAAATAGTTCTTTATGGACCCTATTTATAGGGCATAGTACAAAACAAATCATAACAAATTCGGAGAGAGCAAGATGTATCACATAGGTAATTTAATGAGGTACTTGTATAAGTAGTTGGTATTTTGAGTAGCTATTTATTTTTATAAGTAACATTTATTAGTTTTAATTTATATATTAATTATGAGTATTTTGTTTAATATATTTATGATGCGAGATCATAAATATATTAAATTAAAAAATTAATTATGATGTGAGATCATTATGTGTTATTTATATCTAAAATATCCAAAGTATCTCCAAAATATTCTTTTATGTCATAGTATGACTTGGTAAGTAACAAGTCTTTTAATTTTTTTAGGAAAGTTTTATCGTTTTATTAAAAGGTGGCAACGCATTTGCCACCCTACGGGGGTGTTGCACGTGTCCATGGGCGGCGGTTATCACTTAACATCAGGTGAAACGCTAGCTATCTTCACACATAAAAAAATCAAAATGATTTAGTATTAACAGCATTTAGGTTACTCGTTATGAATTAAGTTTTATGCCAATTAGGAATTACATAAGACTAATTGAGATTTGTCACATGACAACGCTAGAGTATAAATGAATGATGTAGTATCAAATTTTAGTAAGAGTAATTAAAGCAACAATATGTTAAACTTGTTAATATACAAAATGGTTTAAGAATATGAATTTCTTATGAATTGTTTGATATTAAATAAAACAAAACCTTTCCATTTTACAATTAATTTATTTATGTATAATTTCACAACCCATAAAAATATATCAGCCTGGATACAGATTTTATAAATGATAAGTTATACTTAATATTACATAATATAATGTTAATTTTATAATAATTCTTCTGTTTATATGTTCATTTAAATTTGTTCATAGTTATTGCAATGCCAAACAATACAAATTAGTTTGAAATTTTATTAAAATGAGAGTTAATCTCGTTATATTTATTTGTTATAAATTTTAAATTTTTATTTCATTTAAAGAGGTTACTTAATTATTCTACGCAATAACTCTTTAAAGTCATTAAGCCTTTATATTTTATAAAAATTCACAGCAATCATATCTACCACACTAAAACAGTATCTGTTATGAATACAACTACTAATAATTAGAGAAGGGATTGTCATTCAAATACCTGGCTCTCATATTTCCTGAACATAGTAAGGACAACGCTTCTATACTTATATAAGTATAGATGCATTAAAAATGTATAATGGTGTTTTGATCGGTGATTTTTTTTTAACCTAACGCATCGACAACAAATCATCTTGCTGTGATTCAATTTATTCACGTTGATATCCAGGGGTGGCCAACAAATAGTCAATATACTTTTAGTTTAAAAATAGAAACCGATTAGACGGCAACACTAATTTAGGCCCCGAAACAATTCCCCCGACAATAGGTCGATCGCGGCAAATCTTAAGGGTAAAGAGAGTATTTTGCGTAGAAAAATGTTGGCCAGCCCTGACGATTTGCCGAGCTTAAAACTTAGAACTTAAACGGACCAGGAATTTCCAGTTGCGGAATAATTACGCTAGGAACAAGCTAGGGTTAGCGTTTCAAGTTAACCGTGATCTTGTGGTACGCGTTGCTGAGAAGGCCGCGAATGTTCCAGATGTGCTGGAACGTTTCCGGTTGAGTGTTGAAGTTGCTGTCGGTCGCCTTCACCCAGAGCTCCACCTGGTTTTGGGTGCGAGTGGAAAGACTAGTTTATTTATTATTTATATACACACATTTATTTATTTATATACACATATTCATAATAAGGGGTTGTGGAACCGAACCGACACGGAATGCCGTATATATTACACACTAGCTGCTGCCCGCGACTACGTCTGCGTAGAATAGTCTGAAGGCGTAACATTGTATGTATATAAATGATAGTCTGTGTTATTCCGACGTATTCATTAGAATCCATTTGCCGTTGTAATAGTAGTAAGGGAGTCGGGCACCTGGCTGGCGCCGTGCGGCACGGGCACGCTGGCCGCCCAGAGGGTCCAGGCGTAGTGGGCGTGGGCGGCGGGGGCCGGCCCGTCCTGGCGCAGCGCCGCCTCCCGCCAGCTGGCGCCGCCGTCCGCGCTCAGCTCCACGCGCACCACGCCCGCCCCGCCGCCCGAGTACGCGTACCCTGCCGGTGGCGGACCGCATTTATGTGGCAAAGCGGCCAACGGGCAAACGGGCAAACGGGCAAATGCGTTACAACAACACACGAAACGCAGAAGTGATCGTGGTACTTACCCGGACGGACCTGCTCATTCGTGCAACAGTGTTGCGAGACCCTATCACCGTAAAATACATATATCGATGTTTTCTCCTAAGGTCCTAGAAACCCAGTTGTCCAAAAAATATTATGTAAAATATATATATATATATATATATATATATATATATATATATATATGTATATGGTATTAATTGTTATCAGAAAACTGAGCAAGCGATACATCATATTCATAGCGACCACCACCACCAATGGCGGTTCAAAAGTGACATTCGGTGTGCCGCAAGGTGCGGTTCTAGGGCCAGCGCTTTACACGCGTTACGGAATTCCCGTGTCGCCGTCCCGCTCGCTCACCTCTCGCCTGGATGCAGCCGTCCCGCACCAACGCGTCGCCGCCGTGGGCGGGCTCGCAGATGGCCGAGGTGACGGGCAGGCTGTAGAGCGGCGGCGCGCTTTCGAAGTCGGCCGTCTCCCACGTGACGGAGGGCCCGAACGAGCGGTAGTCGCGCTTGTGCCAATGCGAGTCGCTCTCCTCCTCCGATACGGTGATGCATTCTGAGGATGACGCACTAATCACTCGGGTCCGTTACGTCTGTTATTTTAGTCCATCAACACGTAACAAGCATTAAAATATACCGCGACAGGCAGTCACTTCACGTTCGGTAATAAAGCAAAGCACGCATTCTCAAATTATCATAGCTAATTATCATCAAAATGTTGAGACACTAGTGTATGCTTCTGGGGTAGCCCAAATTTCAAAGCGTTGTCCAAAGCATTTGGAACCCTCGGGTGTTGCAGATGTCTATGGACGGCTATATTCACTTAACATGAGGTGAACCGCCTGCTCGTATGGCAACTTTTCACAAAAAAAAAAACAGTGTCACTTTTAGAGTAAATACGACACCTCTCAAGCTAAAATCCATCAAGCTGTTCAGGCTGTAGAGCCAAACAATTATACATACATATCATACTTTAGAAATACAAAACCCTCCCTCTGGTGCAGTCTGGTAAAAAAACACTATACAGGCTGGCTTTTCTAAAGGTGTCCAAATTCATACAGGAGGTTCAGACTCGGTTGTATAATCGTTTATTGAAATAAAAACCATTAAAAAAAAATTTCCATTCCATTCCATTCCCTAAAAAACTGAACTCGTTGACAATGCGGTAGTCATTCACAAACGCGTCGCATACTTTTGAAACGAACTTGTGTTGCGTGTTAATTATGAATGATTGCGCGTAAAATAAATGAGTTTAGTAAAATCCCGCACGTTTTCAGATAAGTTCAAATGAATGTATTTAATGAATTACGAGTGATTTTAAATATTTATCATTTTTTATATAACATCATTTATGTCTAGAATTTAATAAAAAAAAAATGGATACACATAGAAAAGCCTCCCTGTATTGATCACACAATATTTTCGCAGTAGCGGGCATCGAATCCACACCCTGTGGCGGAGGAATCCCCATCGACTCTTTATTTTTTTATCATTTTTTTTAAATTTAATTAGGATCGCAAACTGAACATTACACTCACATTACAGAATAATGAACAGATAAAGTTGATACATATATAACACACAAGCGAATGTTCTTCTATGAGCGAACACAACATACCGAGCCACTTGACGCTGCGCACGGCGGGCGCCCCCGGCACCACCGCCCTCAACGGCGCCCCGTGGTCGGGCGGCAGCGGCGCGCCGTTCATGTGCGTGGCGAGAAGGACGCGCGCGCTCGGCTCCAGCGCCATCCGCAGCGGGATCGAGGTGCTGAACTGCGTCCCGGCCGCGTCCGCGTCCGCGCCCGTCAGCTGCCACGAGGGCCGGCACATATATCGACGTATCGATGTTTCCACGTCTGATCGATTATCTAGACGAAGTTCAATCCGGTAAAAATATCGATACATCGATATTTTCTCTTTGGCTCCTCGAAACTCCGAATTCGAATTTTAAAAAAAAATATCGTTTCTGATACGATTTTCGATATTGAATATTTTGTATCGATATTTCGGGTCAAAGTTGAAAATAATTATGGATATCGATATATTTTTGACATCCCTAACGTGGAGAAAATCCTTTGCGAATCCCCCGCCACTCCCCCGATTCCGCTGAGGTGCTCACTAAAAAAAACCACGTTGCAACTGCACTATCGCATCAATTTTAATATTTTTGTAAAATTCATCATACGATCGGCTCTTCGTACTTGTTCCAAAATGTGTGCAGGGCGACAAAATTACGCCCTAAATGAATTTCTGACTAAATATTCAGAATTTTATTTGATAACTACCGAAGTATGGCATAGAAATGTTTTAAATCCGTTATCGTACCTATAGCTACATATCTGCTCAAATAAATGAAAAGCAAAACCTTTTTAACTCACAATGACATGCTTTCCATCCGTATCGTTAGGATCCACACCGCAGTGTAAGAGCACGTCCCGTAAATAAACACCGCTCCATACTGCATTGCTGAAATATAAATGTCTCCAAAATAGATACCATAAAATTCATAAAAAAGAATTAATTATTAAGAGTTAACGTACCTAATAGCACCACCGGCCCAGCTTATCCCTTTCACCGGTTTGACCTGGTTTCAAAAATCAAATAGTTTCATAAATATTGTTCGGTTCAATATTGAACCAAACAGCTTTGTTTGCACTTTTTACCTAAAGTCCATCAATACGTTGTAAGCATTAAAATATACCGCGAGAATCAATTCACGTTCGGTCATCAAGCAAACCACGCGTTCTCAAAATATGATAACTATCATAAATATCTATCATATCATATTATAAGTATCATTTTATATGTATCAATTTAGTAATAAAGTGTTTCATATCGGTATCTATTATCATTTATAACATCATATCCGGTGTTAGGAGTTAGCCCCTACAAATATAATATTTTAAATACATACACATTGCACAGATACGAATAGTGATAGCTCAAGGTCTAGGCACTCGTTTTGAATTCAATATACTCGAGCAACGTGAGTTCGATCCCCGGCGCCGGCACCAATGAAATTGTTAATTTTTTGCTGACTTATCACGCGCTCTACGGTGATGGAAAACATCGTTAGGAAATCTGCATATTTTCGAAATAATAACAAAAAAAACATTTCGAAGGTATGTGAAGTCCGCTAAACTGCAGTGGGGTCGAGTGGTGAACTATGCCCTGATACCCTCTGCACAGAGGAAGCCTTTGCCCAGCAGTGGGACTAATAGGCTGTTAACTTACTTATTTTTATTTGTTCAGCCATTGGCCAACTTATCTCTCTCGCACCCTACACCCAGAGCAGCACCAGCCCACCCGGTCCATCTCACCATCTTTCTCGCACACTAAATCCGCGCCCACAGCTTCATATTGCCATCTCTCTCTCACCCCCCAACCAGAGCAGCACCAGCCTTTCAGATCCATCTCGTCATCTCACTCGCACCCCACACCCAGAGCAGCAGCGCCCACCTGGTCCATCTCGCTGCGCCTGTTGCCGGCGCACATGAGCGCGGCCGAGAGCGAGGCGCTGTCGAAGCGGCGCAGCTGCTCCAGCGAGAAGCTCTCCACCGCGAAGCCGTCCAGCACCACGCGCAGCCGGTGCGTGGCCGCCTCCAGCTCTGGAACAGGCATGTGCTGCCGCACGTAAAACAACTCGCTGCGAACACACAAACCGAACGGGCGCACTTCGAGTTGCTTTTCTTTTGCATAATCAATAATAATAATATATATTTAAGCACACATTTTTACAAAACATTTTCTAGTCCCGAACTGAGCAAAGCTTGTACTATGAGTATTAGAAAACTGATAAACATACTTTTCTTTTGTAAATAAATACATGTTCTACATAAATAAACACCCAGACACTGGATAAACCATGTTCATAACGCAATATTTTTCCAGTAGTGGGGATCGAACCCACACGCACTGGCGCAGGAGGCAGGTACACTACCCATTACGCCGTTCGGGTCGTCGATAATATATTAATACCCGATTCGTTTACTAATATCGAGTGGACAGTTGGATATTGTTTAACAGATCAATAACAGCGTTACTTGATTGTGTCACTATGGTTGCTTCATTATTACTATGTAGGGGCAGGTTGGCAATGCCAACTGCTTGTTTAACATTTCATATAAAAAAAGATCCTTTAAGATCTTATTTATAAATATGGAACGCTTGGCTGCCATCCCACATGATGGTAGGTGGGGATGCAACCGTCGCAGTAAAAGCCTATTCACTTTTGCCTTGAAGGCGCCTACGTTATAATCGGACCACGTTATAAAGACCTACGCAGCCGTAGTCTTATAGATAGTCAGTAAAGATGCATTTATGTACTTGGGCGTGTTGAAATGCGCTATTTGGTACTGCGGCGGTATCTCCGCGTTGAACGGCTTGGCCGTCTTCACTATGAGCCGTGGGTCTCTGTACGGCTCCCTGGCCCAGAGCTCGTCATCGCTGTGGTCCACCATATCGTCCTCGTGAATGTTCCCTGCCGAGCGAGGGATATACATAGCTTACTTTCAAACACAACCAAAGACTCCAAGTTATCGTCTCAAAGTCCCTTTTTGTGTTATAAACATAAGAGTTAAAATGTTATTTTATATTTTTAACTGACGCATAAAAAGCCTTTAAATCGCCATTCATACATATAAAAAAGCCTTGAAGTTTGATATTAATTTTAATATTTTTAAAACTATTAAGAAATTTAACATTTAATTGATTGCACATAATTTTCCAGTTTGATAACATTACTTAAAATTCAATAATTATCTTTCCAACCGAAAACAGTAAAAATGTCATCACTCCATGTTGCCCTAAATTTTTAATAGCGTCACAATCTTATCCACTTGAATTTGTAGCTCTAACGCCCCAAGTATATTTTGGGGCACACAATAATATTTTGTATTATGAAGACCAATTAATTGTGTTTGGTTAATATTTCGTTAAAGATGTACTGTTTCTTATTCTTGATCTATTATTCCAACTGTTATAATAACTTGCCGTTGATACACTTTTTAAAGTGTAACATGTCATTTGAATGATTAAAAGTTAAAACTTCCGAAAATTAATTAATTTTTTTGCAAACATTCTCACTTTTTTTTGGAACTGTATTGAACAGTAGTTACCTAGCTCATTGAATTTAAAATTACTGGTGATATATGCAAAATTTTTATGATAGTGCTTACTTCATGAAGAATATGTTTCTTTCAATTTACTTATTATTTAACTTTTAGAAATGAAGAATCAAATACCCAAACTTATTTCGAATATCATACTTCCATATATAACTTACCTATCCTGTATGATTCAAGCAACTTGTACACTTGTTGTGTTTTATGCATTCCATACACATTCCAGAAGGGCTCAATGCTGAGTCCCGCTGCATTGTAGATTTGTTCACCGCCAGGATGTGAAGGCAAGAACGATGTTATATCATACACACCATGTCTGTATATCACCCAAAAACTGCTTCTGCGGAGAAAAAATATTGTATTGAAAATTATTGTATTGACTGAATAAAGCTAAATAAAAAAAAGTTAATAATGGTCAGGTAAAAATACAATATGGAGTTGCCTCCATAAATCTTTGCTCATATTTAAATTACTGAGAGAAATATGCTGTATATAATACTACCTTACTGAACTGAAATTTGAATATAAATAATACAAGTATACAATAAAACATTTAAAATGTACGACATAAACATTTTAATGTATAAAACAAAACAGACTACAAACATTTTACTCCTATATTTTCTATTTGATTTTGAGGAGTTCCCTGATGTTCTTTTTGAGTGCATGATGAAAAATGACACAAATGAAATTAATGTTTACGGGACTACATAAGAGTTCAACCTATCTGAAGGCAATAAGAATTTTTAAAATTGTTTTAAAAAATAATGGCCTTCTCATTTAACATAATCAAAAAAAAACATTGATGATATTTTAAAAACCGGGGCCCTTAAAAGAAGAATTTTCCAAATTGGTTGAGGCTCCTTTGAGGAATCAGTGAAAATACATAAAAAAAAATTGTGATAAATTGAGAACCTCCCCCTTTTTTGACGTCGGTTAATAAATAGTTAAAATAGCCACACTTAAAATAAATTTAAATACTAATGAAGTACTAACTTCTTGTTATGCTGGCTAATTTCCTCAGCTCTAAAAGTTGGAAGGTCAGGCCTCTTCTCCCCCGCTTCTACAATTTCTTGTTCTTCTGTCTTCTGTTGTTTGCTCCCATTTGATTTCTGTTTATTGTTATCTGGGAAGTGAATTTATGTATGAAGTAACATTTTAACATTGTGTTATTTCAGTGATTCTATTTTACAAGGATATAACAATGACAATATCAGAATGTTTAATATTTTCTATGAAGATAATTTGTTGATGATGTACGGAAGCTGGCGCGAGGCCTGCTTGGATGCGAGGATCGGGGCAACCCCCATACCTCGGGCGTATTCTCGACCAACAAAGGCTGGTCGGTGGTGAGGATGGCCAACGGCCATCCCTTACCGCGTTAGCGGCACTTGCGGCTGTATGGGTTTACACTCGGTGTGTAACGCCAGGAAGACATCGTCTTCTCAACGGCGGAAGTGCGGTCGGGACCGGCTCCCCAGTGGCCTCCGACCGCAGTAGCTCTCGGGTCTCGCCCGGACGGGCGTGGGGGGGTGCGATGTTCTGCAGGTGTGGATGTGGTCCGTTGTCGGCCCTGTCGTATATGCTACGGGTCAACCTGACCACAAACTCCTTGATGGACTCCATCTTTAGGTCTCTGGCGATTACGTCATTCCTGACGTAACGCCCGGCCCCCACGATTACTCGAAGGGCGAGGTTTTGCTGCGCCTGGAGCCTGCGCCTGTGCGAGGCGGAAACCAGACCATACCACACTGGAGAGGCGTAGGTCAAGCGCGCGCGGACGTACGTGTTGTAGACGCCGAGCTTGGTCTTTAGTGGTAACTTGGATGCCAGAATAAGATAGAGCATAGCTCGAGCTGCTCTGGCTCGTCGAATGGCGTGATCAACCTAGAGAGCCATGCAAAGCGAGCGGTCTCTCTGGCACCCAAGGTACCTTATGGTGATAATTTGTTAAAGAATTGTATCATGTTTATCTTGTGTTTATTGTAGGTAACAAATAGTTTATACTTTCTTTGGATAAGTATAAGCATTTAGCGCAATAATATAGTTTTTTTTGTGGGCGAGCAGTAAGTAGGAGTAACATAAGAAAGTTTAATTAATTAAATTATAACCATTGAATAATTTCTTTACCATTCAATGAAGACCCTATAAGGACAGAACCAAGAAGAGCTGCTGCGAAATTTCTCTTATAGTTATTAAATGTCTCTTTAGAGCCCCCATATTTCTCATAGCCATTATATTGCAGTAAAGCTGGGAAATTTGTAGAAAATTTTTGCCGCAGTATTATCCTGAAATGCCACATGTAAACATGTTATTTCCTATTTTATCATGAAGAAAACCTAAGAAGTGGTTTTGTTTCAAATAAAGAATACATTTCTGTGAAGACTAATTGAAGGTGAAAAAAGAGTAAGTTAATAAAAAGAATGAAAAACATCATATTTAGTAAATTACAGAGGACAAATTGTAGTCTACAATAGTTATAAAAACATAATATACAATATACAATGTTAGTATTTCATATAATTTGACTTAAATGTATTAATCTACGTATTGTCGTTACATATGTAAATAAAAACACTAGAAAGAGGTTTTTTTATTATTAAATATGATAAAAATTTTGATTTTTACGGACATACCTCTGTACTAAATTTCTATAAGACATTGCGGCGTTGAGCACCTCGAAACTAATATCCCTTTTTAAATATAGGTACTCTAGTATTCGGTACAAGCTAACAAACAGTGTCGCTAAAAGATGATACAATCTTTATTAACCTTGATAACTTTTATTACGACATTCACGTTATCGATTCATAATGTTTATTGTTTCATAAAACAGTAAAACAGAACGATACGATTGACGATTGTTTTTATTATGATTTATGATTACCTAATGCTAGGGATGTCAAAAAGTATCGATAAATCGATATTTGTGATTTTAAATATCGATATTTTTAGTCATCTTTAGTTGTATGCGATATCTATCTAATAGGTATATAAAATTCTCGTGTCACGGTGTTTGTAATTGAACTCCTCCGAAACCGCTCGACCGATTTTCGTGAAATTTTGTTTGCATATCACCCAGGGTGGAGAATCGGAAAACATCTATTATTATATCATTATAACTATTATTCATCCCGCTAAATGTTAAGGGTGGTCCACCCCAAGTATTTTTTCTACCCTACAAATTCCTTAGAAATAATTTATACGGCAAGACAACGTTTGTCGGGTCAGCTAGTATTGATATAAAGTATTCAATCTAACGCTTGGTTTCTGAAGCACTGATCATCGTAGAAATCAACTAATCAGTTATCAAATGGCTTTTCAAATATTATTCGAGTCGCCAAAAGAATTATTATACTCTCTGAATTGACAAGAATGATCAGAATGATAATATTATAAAATATCGAAATTATTTAAAAAACGATATCTTTTCAAATTCCGATCCGGCATATAGTCCGTAGCCGTAAAATATTTAATAACAACGGGTCTTGAAACAGTAAATATCGATATTCTATGATTTATCGAGGCCAATATTGATATTTTTACAAGTACCGATATGTTTATTCATTTTTAACATCCCTACTTATTAGTGTTGCCACTTTGCCAGTATGAGTTAACGAGTAATATGTCGTTAATCATAATAAGTGATTTTATATTATGACATGGTCTTTTTTGTACACTGATAGCGTGATAGCTCTGACTGCTTGGTTGGCAGTGGTCCGCAGAGATGACCTATGGATTCTGGAGAGAACAACGAAGCTGATGAACAACAACAACAATGACAGCGTCCGTTTCGCTACAGACCAGAGATATCAGGAAGAATATCGACGAACAAGATGAGGACGACATGTTCCGAGGGTCATGATCCATGATCAGATGTAGGTTTGCACTTCGGCTTGGACCGCGACAGTGATATCTATCTAGAGGTTGTAATTCAGCCGAATGTAACTTAATCGTGAACCATTGAAATATTTACGTAATTAAACTTTTCTCAAAGGCTGGGGAAAAAAAAAAATCAATTATCTTTTCTATTTCTAACGCATGTATCATTTAATATAACAAGATAGTATCCAGTACTTTGCTGAACGTGAATAGATTATTTAAAAAAAACATTGCTTTGATACGCATGTCACATTACCTATGTATTTAAAACTAAATAAAAATAAAGTAAACGGTTTAAATGCTACTAACACTTAATATTAAGTACTTACATATTTTTCATACATTTTTAAGTATAACATACACTACTTCCAAGTGAATAAAATCCAGTGGAAAATTTTAAGCAGTCGATCTTCACTTTCTTTTTTTGTGGTACGACAGACACATCTAACCACAGAAATAAAGGAATATTTGTTGCGAACCAGTGTGATTACATTCTCTTTGTTGCGAACTTACGAATGCGATAGACACATACGTCAGCGCAATATTCTAATAGTGAGTGCTGAATCGTAAAACAATCTCATGTTCATTAGTTGGTTTCACTGGTACTGGTGGTCTTTTTTAATTGGAATTATAATTTTTAATTAATAACATTTGTAAGGCTTTTATATTTTTGGTGATGATGAGTTTATTAGATAAATTGTCAAACATTGTTTTGGCACTGCAAGGATTTATCGTGTATCTATGTAGGAGGGACTGATATAAATTTTTACTTGCTAGGTCCACCCTTTCTTGAGAAGATCGGTGGTGATTATTTACCAATTTTATTATGGTGGTATAATGGATAGGTTCAGGACCCTCGGTGATCGAGTTCGTCTCGCACTTGTTTTTTTTAAATAAAGTATTTGAAACAAAAGATCAAAATAACACTGAACAACTTTACAAAAAATGTCGACCTTAATTAATCACTAATGCGATACTTAATGTAATTTATCTTATCGTATTGTAATTTATCTTATGTAATTTATCTTAATATATTTTGCCTTAACTTGTTGCTTCTTAATTTATTTTTATGGGCGTTATTAAAATGTCCTGTAACAAAACATTTCACCAGTAGGTAGGTACATAGTATTATACTCATAAAATGTTTACTTGGTAAATCAAAATAAAGTTACAATGAATTTTTTGTGATTCTTGTCATGGATAATATTATATGGATTTCAGTCTAGACGTATATTTTGCTACGTCAGTCAGAAAGCCCGAGGCAAGATAAGAATTCACGATTTTCATAGATTTATAAAATATATGTAAACTTTATAAAGTTTTAAGAAAACGAGTTAGTCCTGAGAAAATGAGCTTCTTTGCACTTGGCTGGAGTAACGGCCGTAGGAGAGGATTCAAATCCAAATATCTTTGTTAAGTATAGAAGCGTTGCACTATCTTATTTTTTCGAAATACTACAACCGGTTCGGAAAAAAAAAGCCACTGACCTGAGAAGAACCAGTGAAAGAAACTCAATGGGTCATTTCTTTTTACCATTCTTTCACAAAGAAACATGTTTACTATATATTATCCCCCTTGAAAGAGCCTGGGGCGATCAATTCATTTCCAGAGTGCGTTATCATTTAAATAAGCACTATTTAACCGACTTATATTATGACTTAACCTTTCGCAGAAACGTTTATCGGTGATGGATCATTGTAGTCCTCCACTAGGTTAGCAACCTGTCTCGCAGGGGTCAAATTTTCGATTAGCTGATCTAGGATCATTTAATTTAACTAAGTTGCAATAAACATAATTATGACAATCGAAGTATATGTGTGTATTTTTATATATTTATAATATAAGTGTATTGATATTACTTTGTATAGCGTGCGTGGGGAAGCCATTTTGCTGACCTTAGTAAGCTGTCTGCTGGTATTGAATTTATTTGAATTGAATATTAATCAATCCTAATGAGGCGTTGGCGGAACCTGTACGAGCACTAGTAGTATTTATATAAATTGAAGGTGCATTCCATTTGTACGCAAGAAAGCGGGGAAATGTGCAGCTCTTTAGGTCACTAATGAGTTTTTAAATACCCTATGCATTAGTTTTAAGTACATTTCCCGCATTTAACTATGAAAATGTCGGGTGATTTAACGTCGCTATTAACGTTTACATCAAATTAAAACGAGAAGTCTCGAGTATTATTTGCAGATACCGTCCGTTGATTTGATCGCGTGAATAGATATTTTTGATTATTTAGCCCCAAAACTTGTGGACATGACTGTTGCAGGTCGTCTTACTAGGCAATTCATATTCAGGCTAGGTTCCCCTGCCTGGTACAGGTTTGTGGTACCAGATGCTGAGGTACGCTGACATTCCCATTTCCCGTTTAAGTGTATCTCACAGATAGCCTCAGGCTTGACGCAGATAAATGTTATACAGTAATTTATTTCTTTATTTCTTTATTTAATAGTTACAATCCGAACTGATGGCTACGTGGTGCAGGCATTGCCAAAGTATTGGCTTCGGCGTCGGGGGTCGTGGGATCGATCCTACACGAGACAACTATTTGTGTGACCCACAGATAGAAGACAGAAGTGTTGTATCGCATCTAGGTGTTTTGTCCTCGTGAAATTTTGAAAACGTCCTTACAACACAGGATAATATTATCCTAAAGTAAGGGCAATGTTTTTTTTTAAAGAAAGAAATAATCTAGATAGAAACATTCCGTATTTGTACAGCATTATCTTGATCGCATGGGATGTAGAGGCATATAAAAGGACATCTGAATAAATTAGTATTTAAAATGTTGTAGTGTATAGATATTGTTAAGAGTGGCGGGCAACCGGTTGATGCAAATGGCAGTTTTCTTCGTTTTGATCTTTAAATTGGAAGACATTTGTGCAGCACTGGAATATAATGATGATGATGACATTTTAATACAAAGTACATGGCGTAGTTTTCACTCTTTGTTGGGTCTTTTTTGTATAGAAGAAGAAAGGTATATGTGCATACGATGTTACATATAACTTTTAAAAAACTGAAAAATCGTATGTAATTTTGAGAACTACTTTAGCGGTGCAAGTGTGTAATATTACAAAGTTTTCTATTAAGTGGTTAGTAAATAACGAAAGCGTAATTACTAGAGCCACTGCTGTAGACGTTTTACTTTAGACCTTTGTAGCTAATAATAAAAAAAACTTCGTTTCGCCTGCAAACCCATTAACTCGGCGATGGCTGTCGTAAAAGAAAAATTAAGCCTGCCATAAAATTTCACTCTAAACGTTGCCGAAATGAAAATATAATAATTTCGTTCGGTTTCGTGGTACGTTGTGAATTCCTCTTACACTTAAATGCGTACCGTTGAGAGGGCTATTAAAATGCCACTCAATGTGTTTTTGCAGCGAAAAGTCGTAACTTGTAAGTTCCAGAAATGTATAGAGGCTGGGAAAGCACCATGTAAGCTATAACAATACTTAGATATACATGTGACCGTTAAGTTATGTTTAACTTATATTTATATAATTCTGTTTATTAAATAATCAAGATATGTTGATCAAGGAGAGCATTATGACAGCTTGAATATAAATATTTGGTATGTGTTGTTATCTTGCGTGGTTAAAGCCCCCGGTTATATTGCTTTATAATTATTATTTAAATGATAAAAATGGTTTTAGTATCGGACTCATCGCTCTTTAAACCGATCTTCGTTCAGCGCTATTTTCATGTAATGTTACCAGCACTAATAATTTAAATAGATAGATAAATTACAGTCTGTTAAATATAGGTTGATAGGCGGGACATCGACAATGGCATAACCTGTGACCCATAAATGGCTGTCTAGTTTAAGGGGCTAGTATATAAGACCATGATCAGGCCAGTTCTTACGTATGGAAGCGAAACGTGGGCCGTGACACGGAACCAGGTCCATACCATACAAGTAGCAGAGCTAAAGATGCTACGGTGGATGTGCGGAGTGACGAGACTCGACAAGATACGTAACGCGCACGTGCGAGGAAGTCCGTGACATCGCCGACAAGCTCCAGGAAAGTAGGCTGCGATGGTATGGACATGTGCAACGTCGACCTTCTGATTACATTGGGAAAGAAGCGTACCATCTGGACATCCGAGGTTCTCGGAGACGAGGAAGACCAAAAATAAGATGGACAGAGGTACTGAGAAAAGATCTTAACGCCTGCAATGTGACCCATGACGATGCGATGGATAGAGCGAAGTGGAAGCGAAAGACAGGAAAGGCAGACCCCACTACCGTGTGGGGATAATAAATGCACGGGAGGGAGAGAGAGAGGTGGAACATCGACATACAAATACGAAGTTCGGTATTGTTTAAACAAAAAAATGTACGTAACACAAAGTGGTACTTTGTTTAGTAATTTATTAGTTCATTAATGCCAATGTCTCGCGTATCATAGTATATTCAACAAACTGTAGGCACTAGCCGCGTTCGAAAGCATCGCGAATCCTTCACGAGCATAACTATGTTTTGAATACAACGCTAACAAGCTACGGGGAACGAGGATCCCGGGCACGTCCACGCACCGCCACCTGTGGGAATTCGCTACGAGTTATAAATGAGAGGGAACTTTGTTGTCGCGAGTTTGGCCGCCGGGATCCTCCAATTTATTTACCGCTTCAAGTTGCTAGCGCGTGTGAGCGGACTGAGATTTTCTTCGATGTTTGTTCGTTGCGCTTTTGTAGATTTTTTATTGGTTGACGTGGGGGAAATGCCTACGAAGTTTCTTAACCGTGGTAGGACCACGCAACAGTATTCACTGTTGCACGAATGAGCAGGTCGGTCCGGGTTAGTACCACGACTTCACAGAAAACCGGCGTAAAGTAGAAGTGTTACACTTCTGCGTTTCGTCTGGTGAATGAGGTAGCCCGGGCCCGGGCCCGGGCGACATTATTAAAAGGTGACAACACATCTGTAACCGTTGTCGTAAATATCCGTGGGAGGCGATTATCACTTAACATCAGGTGAACCGCCACTTTCTAACATAAAAAAAGTTAAAGCATCTAAACACACTTTTTAACCTATTAATTTCTATGGTAGCTTAATTTTAATAGTTCTCAGTGGGAATTAAACGTTTTCATAAATAAATGTATTCTCCACATTAGCTCTGTTAAAATCGCATCATACGAGTAACGGTCCGACATAGCACCTGCTGGAAAATTGCCAGTGCAACGAGTATAGATTTTCAATTTAAATAAACTCGCATGTTATACTTCCATCTACCAGGAATAAATTGAACTATAAAACAAATTGTAACTGTCATCGCAGCGTAACAATGCATGGGGGCAGACGCGGTTCTTATTGTTTCTTATGTTATAATTATCGCTATTAAGCTACCTATATATATATATATATATATGTTACCAGTATGTATGTATCATCTATGGCACATAATGCAGCTAAAGACAAAGGCTACGCATTGACGTTACACATTCATGGCCGGTTTCAATATTCTATCTACAGATAGGTTTGATTACTGGAGATAGAATTTTGACGTAGGTATTACGGAGCTAATGTCAAATACCTATCGCTAGTAATCAAAATATGTATCTGTAGATAGAATATTGAAACGGGCCGTAAGTAATCCTGACAGAACTAATAATGGCATTGAAACGACGCCCCGCCATTTCCAGCCCACGGTAGTTTCAATTTCTTAAAGTCACATCTTGAATCGATTTGCCGTCGGAGGTTGATCGATCATGGCGGTAAACAATCATCTTCGCAGATTGCGCTCGGCTTATAAATCATTTTTCATTATTTACCGAGCCCCTGTGCCGTTGGCGGGGATATTTCAGCGGAGCGATCGTAAAACAAAGCTGGCTGCGGTTCTATTTGTTACGACGGTACATATTCGATGCACTTACAATCGGTGAAATTTGTATACGTTTATATTTTAGAAAAGTGTCTTTTCCAGTTCACACGTGAATGTATATTTCTATTGCTATGTAGAGGATGGATGGGATCCTTTTGTTTTGGGTGTAGTAGTCTCGTAATTTATTTAAATTATTTAAAGAATTGCATTTTCCTTACGTGAAACATTCCGAACACACTGATTTCAGAATAGGACGAGGTTCAATACGATTTTTTTCATTTCTAAAGTTGCCAATCTCCTACACCCGAGGGATTGTAGATGAGTTGACAACCTTTTAGAAAAAGTTGTCGACTTATTCCAAACGCAGAAGTTTCCTTCCTTTCCGAAGAACCTTCGCGTCTCGTCTGGTGATATGAAGGCGAAAAACAGGAGCCCACCTTTGAAAAGGTTTTCAACGCATCTACAACACCTCAGGTGTTGCAAATGTCCATGGGTGGCGGTAATCATTTGAGTTACGCTGGATAACTTTTCACATAAAAAAGGAGTATTTCTTTTACTTTATGGTTATAAATAAACGCAATTAAAACATTCTATTTTATATGAAATTTATATGATGATAAATTTTTATTTTATATGATGAGAATAATCCGTCTCTCCATTGCACCACCTAGTACGACTTCGCTAAATCTATCGTGTCATTTGTATTGATGGAAATAATAAACGAATGGCATGAATAGTTTCCAACCAACTAAATTAAGATTTCATCAAATCAGTTTCCCCTGCACAGATCTCCACTCATTGGCGTCGTAGCACTGCGTCGTCCAGGGGATAACGAGCGTCATAGAATGCGTAATGCGAGCCTCTTAGCGGTAACAAGTGGCGTGTACATTACAAACGGGCGAGGTAATGGCCGGAGCGATTCATTTGCGGACTTATTCGCCCGTAGAAAAGCGAGGTAAACAAAGACAAGGGTCACCGATGCGAAACTTTTAGAGTTCCGTACCCAAAGGCTAAAACGGGACCTTAATACTAAGATCTGAAGAATCTGCTGTCTGTCTGAACAGCAACAACATGATAGTTAGACAGTTGAAATTTTCACAGATGTATTTCTGTTGCCGCTATAACAACAAACACTAAAAAATATAATAAAAAATCTTTAAGTGGAGCTCCCACAACAGACATGATCCTTTTGAATATTGTACATTTTAATTTTATTAAAATGTATAATATTCGCTTAAATAAAAGAAGTTATTGGTGCATAATATCAGGCGAATCTTGATTAACATACTTATCTCGTTATGGAAGAGTTTTGTTTATCAATGTAACAAAAAAAAAATGAGGATAAGAGTTAATCACGAGAAACAACGCCTTATAAACTAGTAATTACTTTATGGCCCAGTCGGCGCAGTTGTCAAAGTATTGGCTTCGGTGAGGGGAGTCGTGGGCTCGAATCTCATGTCCGGGGTCCGTCCACGTGATATTTGTGTACATAAAAAGTCCGAACAACACAGATTAATGCTATCCTAAAGTTATAGTAATGTTGGAAAGAAATCTTAAGTCTGATTTTGATGGCGTTTGTTATTCATGGCGGCGCTTGAGAATGATTTCAGACTAAATCTGAGCCAAGAGTTCAAAGGCGTCTATTCGATGAGCTACGAATCCAATTTAAATACTAAAGCGATTTCATATTCATAGCAACTTTAGTGGGCATCATTTAAATTTAAACGAACTCAAAATGCCCGATTCTTCTGACTCCGTCATTATTTCAACGGAGCTCACGATTGGTAGATAATAGCAATAATAATGAGTAATAACTTAAAAAAATGTGCGCGTAACTTTCACTCGCTTATGAAGTAAAACTAAAAAATATCTTTAAAATTATTATTCCTGTATATATATATAATCGGAATCTCGGAAACGGCTCCAGCGATTTTGATGAAATTTAGTATGTGCGTAGATTCGGGGGCGAAAAATCGATCTAGCTAGGTTTTATTTTTAGAAAATGCCCTTTTATCCCTGTATTCAGGGAATGATAAATATCATTCGAATATGACAGTAAATTTCGCCGCAAAAAATATGTTATAATAGCTCGGTCGGTAATCGGGCGGCCCCAAAACAGACGGTCGCGGTTCGAATCACGATCATTTACACACTTATTTTTTTACTTTTTTTTATATACCACATCATTTTCTTTATTTTTTTTATTTCCAAAATACATGATTTACCAAAAAAAACCGATCCTCCAGGTACTAATAATTTAATTTAATAATAATGTATTACCCATAATAAATTATCAATATTTTTTTTTCAGACCATACATGCATACACTGTAAATATTTAAAAATCGGATAATATATAAACGTCATCGTAACGCGTTTCCATTAACCGCGTCAATTATTAAATACTGGTGTGTCTTATACTTGGTTTCGATAGTGAATTAAGGAAGGAGCTAGATTTATATAAATCTAGAAAGAAGATTTCCCCTGACAAATGAAGCCACGAACATAGGGTCATTGTCTTTACATAGTATACAACAAATTCACTCTCGATGTTTGTACGCTTGTATCTTTTAAACTACGCAACGGATTTTAATGTGGTTTTGAGCAATAGATAGAGTGATTCAAGCGGAAGGTTTGTATATAGTAAACATGCATATTATAGTGGAGAAAAGAGGAGAAATTCAATATCTAAATTGCAAACGTGCGAAGCCGGAGCGGTTCGCTAGTTGTTAATAATAATCAATAGAAAAAAAAAAGTTTCTCTGAGTAAAATTTTAGAAAGTTATTGTGGTTTAAATAATGTGAAACGTAAGAAAACGTCAAATATGTTGTTCTTTTATAAACACATTAAAATAAGCTACTGTTGTTTGAATTTTATTGCACGATAAGAAATTCTTGTATCGCAGAAGCATTTTACGAACACAGATTGCAAAATAAAATAAAAAAAATATGTTCTAGAAACGTATAAGAATATAATCGTAGACCACGTCAAATATCTTGGGTATAGAAATGAGGAAATTTTCTACAAACATTTAAATTGCCTCCGAGTGAAAGCCCCAAGGCGGATCCGATAACGGAGAATGAAGTTAGTGAATTATCTGATATTGATTTCGGCCGAGAGGAATGGATGCGAATGAGTCATGGGAATTGGATTGGATTGCTATATCTCATTACATAGGTACTTCATCGTTATTAAATTATCGGTAACTGGTGAATTTTTTATTACACCTTTGGTGTAACATGACTTTTATGTCAATTTTCATGTTGTTTCTCTGTTTTGTGATAAATAAATGTCAAAAACAGATATTAATCACTGTAAAGTACTATTTGTAAATAACGATTTATAAAAATAATTTAAACAAGTTTAAAAAACAGCTATCTCAGGACAATATTGTATCATTGTATAGGATAAAACAAAGTCGTCCCGCTGTCTGTCTGTCCCTATATACATATATGCTTACATCTTTAAAACTACGCAACGGATTTTGATGCGGAAATTTATGCATAATATAGTGGAGAAACACTGATATATTTAGAGGTTTCTAATGCGATGTCGAAAACAAACATTCAGCATCGCACCCGTAAGCCGGGGCGGGTCGCTAGTATTATATGTAATAATATATTATCAATTTGATAAATAATAACAGATAATTGTTCCGTATCTGGGTGTTTGTTTCCCAAGGAGGGTTGACGACAGGCAGGCGGCCCATCGTAAACAACATAACCAAAACATCTTACGACATGATTCAAATATTGTGCCGACCCCACATAGGATAAGGGCAGGAGGATGATGATGATTTCTAGTACTTAAAAATAACACCAGTAATATTTTATAATATTTTGTTACTTTAACGCCGCGGGACTATGTAAACAATTTGCTATTAAAAAGCTGTTTTCTATTTTTAATAAAAAAACTTATGGATTTAATTATAATTTTAGCCTCTTCACTTTATGAGTGTAATTTTCGAAAACCCTTTACTCTCGTAAGACCCTCTGGTATAATATTTACCACAAAAAGTCTTTTTGTTTTTTTTTTATTGTGAAAAAGTGGAAAGTGCGCTGGCGGTTCACCGGATGTTAAGAGATAACCGCCGTCAATGGACATTTGTAACCCTGGTAGGGTTGCAGATGCGCTGCTACCTTTAAAGTAAATGGGCCCCGGCTACCTCACTCACCAGACGAAACACAGGAGTATTGTACTTCCACTTAACATCGGTCCATTTTGCTTGGCCCTTCCACAGTCTTGTAATTAAATGCTAAATATATTGTTGTTACAAATAATTTAGCTGTATAAATTGTGATAGCCTAGATATATGTTTTCCACCGCAATCGTAGCAATGTCATCGGTTCCAAGAACTGTGATTTGTACTTAGATTTCAGATTTCAGGACGTACTTGGCAAGTGATAAACGTACTTGAACATACTTTTCAGCTCTAACAATATTCATTCGCAACCTCCGGTGTAAAAGACAGATTAACTATTCACTACACCATTGGGTCATCGGATTGATGAAAACAGACTGAGCTACGGTTCGGCTACGACCGTAGATGCTCGTAGATCACAAGTATATGTTTATGAACAAAGAACAAAACCAAATCCGGATTTCCATGATGCATCTCCAAAGTCCAAAAATCAATGACCTTTATGCGCGGTTGAAGTAAAACAAAAAAATATTTAAAGTATTTAATAATGGTTAATTAAAATAATTTATTTATTAATGTAGTAATAAATAATAAATTATGCGTAATTTATTATTTATTAAATTATGAGTAAATTTATTATTTATTAATTTTGAATGTATACGGCGTAACGCGTTTCCGTTGTCGGCGTCCATATTTTTTATCAATCCAATTATTTATTCATTTAAATAGGCTTACCAAGTTAATACATAAAAAAGAATTGTAATTCTGATGTGATGTACTTAAACATTAAGTTTATCATTGTAAACATGAATTCAAATTAAAGATTAAACACAGCATCTAATAAAAGACTTCATTTTAGGAGAACAGTAAAATTTGTAATTAGCCCTTAATCGCGCCTAAAGAAGTTTTACTTCAAAATAAATATGGGACCTTAGGGACGAACAACCTTAGGGAGCTAAATCGAACCGATTGCAAAAGAATAAACATCTACGATTATGATACAATGTACTCTACGTACATTGTATCATAATCGCAGATGTGCGGTCTACGATCGCGCTTTGCGTAGCCCAGTGTAAATAGTGGAATGTCTCGCGGTGGCTGGCTCTGATACCATATTGCGGGCGCACGGAGCTACGAAGCGACGGACATTCCCGTATCTTTAAGATTTTAAGTAAGTTAGGGGTGTTTGATTTTTCTATTCTAATTTAATTTTTATTCAAGAATTTCTGCAACATTTTGGGAAGACAAGTGTGGTGTAATTTGAAATGTTCATTGTCGACGATCACGCATCAGCTTTCGCTCCGACAAAGAAGATTCATAGAGCGACCACAATTTCGCGGTAAATTGGCATGAAGTGAGCATTTACAGTTTTGCGTTTCGTGTTTGAGTGAGGTAATCAAAGGTCCAAACTCTACGTCCGGGTAAGCACCACGACCTCACAGAAGACCGTCGTGAAATGGAAGTGTAACACTTCTGTGTTTAGTCTGGTGAGTGAGGTAGCCGAGGCCCACTTCTTTGAATGGTGGCAACGCATCTGCAAACCTACCGGTGTTGCAAATGTCCATGGGCGGCGGTTATCACTTAACATCAGGTGAGCCACCCGCTCGCTTGCCACCTTCTCACATAAAAAAAAAAAGAAAAACAAATTTATATAGATCGTATGCTATATTTTCGTCACATAAAAATGAAATAGGTAACTGTTTTTTTTTTATTTCAAAACAATATTTTGTTATCATTATTCATGGTTTATTATATCTTAAAAATCGATTAAAATATAATACATTTTAATATCACCGATTAAGAGATTGTAAATGTCTTATACGTAATTATATATTCTTTTTATTACACGAAATATTTACGATTTGATATCATAAGAAAATTTATAAAAAATCCGAACCTTTTATATGCCTAATATGCCGCATCCGTTTTCTAAACAAAACGCCGGTTCCCCGTGCTCTATGAAATTGGAACCGATAGAATGCTCAGTATGTTGGAAATGAGAGCGGCCGGCGATATTGGCTAAATTAACCGAGCCCGGATATCTACGATGCATTGCGCGCGGGACATAGATTCACTTATTGCTTTGTGGTCGCCCGGTCGAGGTGTTTGCGTGTATGATATGGCCCTGTGGTGAGTTCATGCAATAGTCTTCGCTGTTGCACGAATGGGCAGGTCCGTGCGGGTAAGTACCACGGCCTCACAGAAGACCGGCGTAAAGTAGAAGTGTTACACTTCTGCGGTTCGTCGGGTGAGTGAGGTGCCCATTTTATTAAAAGGTGGAAATGCATCTGCAACCCTACGAGTGTTGCAAATGTTCATGGGCGACAGTAATCACTCGACATCAGGAGTTCCGCCCTCTCGCTTACCACCGTCTCATATAATAGAAAATTTTTGAAGGATTGCACGTAGTGTACGGTGTTCGGGTGGGTAAGCTTGTTGAAACACAGCTTCTATCTACTTACGGGCTTAAAGATTGAAGGCAGCCTCCTCATTGTGCGGCTCAGGTGGCGCTGCGTGATATGATTAGCCACCATAATCCATCACGCGGCGACGTGTCGTGTCACGCTGAGGCGATATTGCACCCGCGCATAAAAGCCCACCGGGCGGCGCTTGTCGGTGAAATTCAGCACTCTCATTGTGCGCCCATAACGTGCCAATCAATTCGCCCGTGTGACTGATCGTTTCGCGCCCGCGTCGGTTTTTGGTTTTACGCCGAAGTCATGGTCAACGTTAGGTAAATTAAAGCAAAGTAACTGCTTATATGTGACCATGTGCTGGGTAATGGCCTGCTCTATACAGAGGGTATAATCCCCGCGGTCCCACTGCGCATTGGCGGACTTCGCATATCATATATTTAGAAATATTTTTTTATTACTTCGATAATGTTGATTTCCTTCACCGCTGTACAAGTGATAAGCCAGTTCTTAAAATTAACAATTATATTGTTGTCAGAACCGGTTTGAAATCAGGTTGCTCGAGTACAAGTGTATTAATTAAAAGAATTTTAATTAATTCATGAATGTTTCAGGCACTTATTTTTAATTCAAACTTCCCTGAAAGCAAAAAGATAATATGCTTAAACTATGAAAAATATTACCCTCCTTTTAATCAAAAATGTGGGAAAATAATCTATAGTCAAATACTAACCAAGGAATTTTCCTCATCCATTTATTATAATTAATGTTCCCA